CCGTTTGGCTTCTCGATAGAACCGCAAACAAAAAGCGGGTACTCTACAAAAATGCGGACCCAACTAGCAAGAAAGGCGCGCTTCCCCGAAACCATTCCTGGTTTAAATTTACGGAGACCTTCCGACTTATTCCCAAAAAGTCCAAGGATTCCTCGAGATCCAGGGTAGCGATTTCTTGTTTCATGTTTTGGAGTTCAGGAAACCGTGTCCGTTTACCTTTCCTTTTTTTCCCCAGAATCCAAACCACCAATCCAAAGAGCCAATCCAAACCACCAATTAAGTGTAACCTGACCTTGGGTTCCGCCCCCAAAAAAAGCAACACCAACCTTGACAAGGGTGATTGTTTCAATGGACACCACCCAGTAAATAGATCGATCAACTTTTGATGGGGACAAATTGATCAACTTTTGATGTGGGGAAATCCAGCGACCCCTGTAGGGAATGGAAGCGGGATGTGACATTGTACAGCAAAGCCCCAAAAGAAGCCGACCATCTGGGTGAATTATAACGACCTCACACAACCTCACCCCAAATGGTTGTTTATGTGGGGAATGGCCCCCAACCACCTTGTTTCAGGCTGGTGAAGTTTGTTCACCCAGAACAATGAAGGGGCGCAACTGTTTTTGACTGAACAGGTCATCTCCAACATGTCTCAACCGAGGTTTCTGACCTCGCGTCTCATGAGTCTTTAGTAGGGGCCTCAGTTTCCTGGGTACGATGTGAAGGCCAGGCTTACGGAAGGGGTCCTACTGCGGGCTTCCATGGCTCAAATTCATATGTTGTATTTTCCCCTGGGTTGAAAGGGAACTCTCTCTAGCGGGCATATGTTTTTCCAGGGGATCCGCAAGTGGCGGGAGAAAGTCCCACCAAGGAACGCAGTGAACAGATTGAGAATTGCGCTCGGAGTTGCCCCCTACAGACCATTCAGCGTTTAACAGCTGGGTGTGTCTTTTTTAGGGCCCAACCCCGCCTCACAAAAAATCACGAAATCAGCCAAGGTGGTATCCACAACAGTATCTGTAGCTTCAGCTATTGGGGGACAAAAGTTGTATTTTCCTGGTGGTTTTCTTCAAACCGCCAGAAGGGGAGGTACCAGCTCCCAAACCAAAATCCAAGCATAGCGCATGAGCCCGACCTGGCTTGCGAGCTGCCACAGGAGCTTGGCTGCGCGGAGCTGGAACATTCTGCATGAGTTGTCTAGGTCCCCCAGCTAGGTGCCCTTCTCTCCCATTTTTTGTTTGGGAGGGTTCCCCTACTAAAATAGGCTACAAAAAAAGGTTGTTCTTTGTTTGTTTTTTACTGAAAGCCAGGGCTCAGGCAATCCTTCTTTGGCGGTCTCATGATACTTTTGTGTTTCTAATGTGGTTTAGGAAATCCTTCTTTGGAGGTTTGGATTCGAACCCCCTGGTTCTTGCAGAGGGTAGATGGGAAACCAACCCTTAAGCATCAAACCAATCCAGACCGATAATGAGAAGGAAGCTGAAGGGTGGTCCTTGGACTTGGACAAAATGCAGACTTGGCAATAGATGAATGTTCCATCACACAGTTTTTCTTTTTGTCCATAAACTCACAAAGGATGCCAACTAATAACCACAAAGCAAAGGCATGCTCATTTTCGGAGACTGGGACAGATCGCCACAAAGTGGTGGTGCCATGACCCCTTTCGAGCCTTGCCGAGAGCAAAATGGCTACGCCTTCTACCAGAGCTTCGGTTGAGTTGCTCGTTCCCTGTGTGATTGAAGCCACCCAACCAAATATATTGTTGACCCAGGATTAATAAACCTGTCCAACTATTAGGGGGGTGTTCCCTCCAAAAGTGATGAATCCCCACTAGAAGGTGACACCCCCCTATTAATCAACCCGGGGTTTATTAATCCGGGGTTAACATTAGTTAGGTTAGTATAGAGGTATTTTTTCGAGGGTACCCTTTCCAGGCTGCTCTTAAAGGGAAACTACAGGGTTCCAGCCGCCATTTTGCAGGTCCCCTATTTCAAGGTTTTGGCCATATAACCCCCCGTGGTCTTGCGAAGGAGTTTTTCATTGAGCCTTCATTTCACGGAGGGTTACCATTCGGTGGGGAGCTGTGGGGCTGTTGGGAATGAACCGGAAGGGGTCGTGGGGTGGGGAATGGTTCACTTCAGGATTCGGAGCGTCATTCTATTTCCAGGAGGACCGGAAGTCAAGTGAATCGTTTTGAGGCGGCCCTTGGTTTTTCCAAAACTTTTGCGTGCGTAGAGACAAACCCCTCGAAATGTGCCTGCAATATGCTGCCTCCCTCCTCTTGCCTTGGTGAGAAGAAAAGGAGATGAAACCAGGTGGGCTCGGCTTTTTGAGGATCCGGACCCTCAAAATGGATGTCTCTGTAAAACCTGCCCCAAAAGGAGGGCATCCTCGCAAAAAGGCCACACCCGAGTGATCCTAATTGACATTCAACACCAACCAGAGATATGGGTAAACATCTTTTCGCACTTTTCGAACTGCTGCACACGCTCGGCTTTCAGCAGAGCGCGTCCCCATGTGGGTAAACATCTGAAAGAATTTGTAAATGCCTCATGTCCATAAACCCAAGTTCTCGCGGCCTGGGGCTCTCGACCGTCCCATCTCTCGTGTTCATGTGCGGAAGCAAAGTCGGTCAGCCCAGCTGCGGGGAAACAAGACACGGTGCTCAGTAGGTTTTGGGGATTCCCGAATAAAGGAAACCAGAGAATGGATGATGGTGATAGGGGTCATTCCAGCTCATTCCCTGAGAACTGGCAAGAAAAGGAAGTTGAGTTGCCGGGTCGACCTTGCATGTGACGCCCTCCCATGTTTTGTCACACGTTCACGGCAAAGCCAAACTTTGCTATATTGTTGGATCTTTAGGGGAACCGCGTATGCGTCTCCTAGTCAACCAACAAGTGCAACTTTGTGCGCCTGGGGCAATAGCCACACAAAGCGACGGTGATCACCCTCTATCAAACATGATGAGTTGGTGAAGCAAGTCAGTTTGCCAACGAAGAGAGAACACTGAAGATGATTTTCAGCCTTCGGCTTGGTGTGGTCCGTTGCGTTGGAAGCTCTTCTTCAAGGCAGCGCTGAACTGAAAGTCACCTCCTTTCATCACTGGTTCTCTTGTTTTTGTTCAAGACCCGACAAGTTGAAGTTGACTCAACGGGCTCTGACTCGCTGACTGCCTGGAAAGTTGTTTTGGAGGCACTGGGGCACGTGTGGCAAACTTTATACGTTGTTCTGGTTGCATTATTCTTAGCTTTGGATATGGCATTTATATTGTCCATGAATGCAGCTGTAGGTGTGATTGTTAGCAGACTGCTCTACTTGAAACAGATCCCAGACGAATCAGCACTTTTGCCTTGCTCCACGGGTCTGCAGTGAGCCGATTGCACCTAATTTGATGAATATGTCAGACGTAGAGAAGCATGGGTTCAGGAGAATGTACTTAGTGTTGATTGACCAGGAACTAAAGAGAGGGTAAGAGGGCAATACTGGAAGGATCGCTTCTCAGCCACAAGTGCGATGCAATGGATCTCTTAGCTTCCAGGATTCTTCAGAGTTATCAACATCTTTCTAGGATGGTTATTTTAAACCAATCATGATGACCAAACATGATAACCGCAGCCACAACCATGCGCTAGCCGAAATGATCTTCGTCCAGAATTTCTCGCCGGCAGTTGACGGGTGCAGAAAATCAGTAATGTGCCAGCGCCATGACAGCGCTCCCATCGAAACGCCTGGACCTCTATCGTTGCAGCGCTGCCATAGGCGGGGGGAGGGTCGCGACCGGCGCATTTCGGGGGAACAAGCCGCCCATCAATGGTTGATTCCCAGTTACTGTGGCTTCCTCGTCACAGGTTTGTCCTCTAGGTTTGTCAGCAGTGCCCTTCTCGCCCCTTTTTTGGGGGGAGAGTTCCCCTACTAAAATAGACTGAATAGACTACAGAAAAAAAGTTGGTACCAACTGATTCTAAGCTCTCTACTGGCGGACGCCTGCGTACATGGTTTGAACCCTTGCAGGGTGGCCCCTGAGTCCAACCAGCCGTTTCCGCGAGGTCAGGAACAAGACAAATCCACGGGTAACCTACCCACTCCCCAGAAATCTGACAGATGCTAAATCCTTGCGTTTGCTTAAGAATATGGTTGATTTTACCATGGTTTCAAAGGAAATCTATCATTACTACTAAACTTGGTGGCTCCCAGGCATCCCCTTAGCTTTTTAGCGTTTTAGAGTCTGCGGTAGTTTCCATTTAATCCACTATAAGTGAGTCACTTTTAGCGGGGGATCTGAGGGCAGCCCTGTGACGTATCCGCGAATCCAAAAACTCCGAGGTCAAAAAATCGCATCTTTCGCGCCAGGAGCCTGCGGGCGAGCAGAGGAGTGGCAGAGGGCGCTGCGTTTGCTCCGGGACGCCGAAGAGGGGTCCGTGCGCTTGGATTTGGCTGCTCGGCCGGTCGGCGAGGTCTTGGGTCGGTGGGGTTTGGATGGGTTGTTGTTGGGCTTGCTTGGGGTGGCTCGAGTTTGGGCATGCCCCAAAATCCAAATGGGTTTGTTCAAAGCAAAAGCTTTTGAAGACCTTGCAGGCATTGAGGTAGAACAAAGGGGCAATTTTGCCAGCAGCAATTTGATCGTGATAGAAGTGCATGTTACCTGCATGTTGCCCGTGTCTGTCAAGAAGAAAGCGATGGCCCTCCGTGCAACTTCTTCAGAAAGATCCTCACAGATTGGGAGAGAAGGACCGTGGCTGAAAGATGGTCAAAATTCCCCATGTTCTGCTTACAGACTCGGAGCTCTTTGCCCGTGGCAAAAACATAAGTGTGGCATTGTGGTGTGTTCATTTTTTGAATGCCGTTCTTGGCATAGTTTGGGGGAGCAAAGCCGGGCTTTCCACCCATTTTGAGGCTCTGATTCCTATGAGACGTCCTCCCGTATCTCAGCTGTGCGGCGAATTGGATGTGTCTTTTTCTCGGTACCTCCTTTTTTCGCTGGCTTTCGGAAAACCCGAAGCCTTCGGTTTTTGTTCGTTTTCCCCCTTTGTTGTTCTTATTTTTCGGGGAAAACCGCAGCTTTTGGGTTTTTTTGGGGGGGCCGCATCAGAAGACAGACTTTCTGGCCGTTTCGCCATCGGACGAGGTGGCCATCAGCAGTGCCGTGAGCGCATGCCGCAGCTCCTGGGACCAGGCGATGGTTTTGGAGTGATAGGTCATGGGGGCTGGGGGGGGAGGGGAGGGAGGGGAGGGGAGGGGGAGCCCAAAGAAGCCCCAAATAAGGCCATATTAAGGATACTGTGGATGGTTGCGAGATCCGTTCGCACCACTTTGAAACCATGGTTGAAACCATCGTCTGTTATGCAGCCTTTACAGAAAGAACCACCTCAGAGGCCATGAGAAGCCATTGTTTGTTGGTATTTGCAGGGGAATCATCATTCCAGGGTTTCTTGGTGCAGGGCTTCGTCCATCCACAGCAGGGTGGCCTTAGGCTTTGCGCCTCGTCCTTTTTTTGTTGAGGGCTTTACTTCCCTGGGCGCCTCCCCAAGCGAATCGTCCGGTTCGACTTAGGTCTTTAGTTGCTTTTGGTTGGTTTCAATGATCGGGTTTAACCATTGAAGTTAAACTTTGAGCAGGGGATCGCTTACGAATTATGAGTTTCCTCTCTTAGTTTTTAAATCTAGAATGTCTAGTTTGAGATGCCGTCTTTTTGTCGTTGTTGTGTGGGATTTTGAGGGTCCGATTCCTTTGAGAGACAAACCTACACTGTTTAGATGTATACTCTTGCAAACCATGGAACCCCACCAATCGTTGAGGATGCTCCTTTTGGGAAATGGGCCCATGTTAATTTGCTTTCCACAGCGCCGTGACCTCCTTTAGGGTGCCTCGTCTTGAGGCTCGCTGCCCCTGTTTTTGTAGGGAACCCAGAAAGGAATACCACCATTTTGGGTGTCCCTAAAAGAAGACACCCCCAGATGCGCCACAATCAAAACCCCGGGTAGATGAAGGTTAGTAAGGGCCAATCCCAGCCAAAAACAGCCGCGGAATTCCGCCTTCTTAGTTCTTGAAGCATGGTTCTGGGTCGACAATTAATACCAGGTTTTGAGCAAGTGACTCAGATGGCTTTTAATGTAAACCCCGTATTAGCCTGTAACCCCCCCCCCTCCCGTTGAAGGTCGGAAGGTTTTGGGGGGGGGGGGCAAGATTTTGGAAGGTTTTTTGCCTTGACCCCCATAGGGGGGGGATTACAAATACGCTGTTAACATGAAACATGAAAGCCAAAGGTCATCGGACCTTTTTTTCTGGCTTGGAGCAGCCCGGACTTTTTGGGGATTGGATCATGAGACAATAAGTCTGGCGACTTGTTCTGACCAAGCCATCGGAATCTCTGCCAAAACTGTTCGATAGCTTTGGGTCGAAATGTGAAACATGGTCTAGAAACTGGTGATTTCTGTGTAAATGTGGGCCAAGATTCCTAGTGTGAACAGCCACACCCAAATTTCAACTTCTCCTTTTGTAAACAAGACGCACAAAATGGAACTTCGGGACCCCTCTCCCCTCCCTGGCCCAAATTTGTGTTGATGTGTCGAGCGGTCCATTTGAGGTCCGCGGGAACTCACCTCACTCCCTGAGTTCCTTTGAACTTATTTGCCAAAACATTTGGACTCAGGGACCTCAGGGAGAACAAGACAGTGAAAGTTATTCCAAAACAGTTTAAACTCAGTTGTTTTGTTTAGTGGTAAGCAATACATTTGGACTCTTTCTTGAGTCGCTAAGTTTCACACCAAGGGGACAAACCACTGCGGGAAGTCAGTTTGACTCTGGCTCATGGGTGTGAAGCACCGAATGGTCCCCAGTTCTCCGATATTCCGTGGTAGGTTGACTAAATGATGCCTCATTTGCGTTTGGGGGGAATCCTCTGTTGGATTTGTTAACGGGAACCCAACCACACACGCGTGGTTTTGCTTCAGGCAAGCCCCAATGTGCAGCAGATTCTGTTGGGCTTGTGCCGAGATCCTTGCCTGGACCTCCCTATCAACCATCAAAGATTCGCCCTATGGCCACTGCCCTAAGTAATGTATGGACGGGAGTATCCCCAGTGAGCCCGCAGCATGTGTCCCAGTCACTGGGTATACCCAGCCTCTTCCTCGGTTTTCTCCCATGGGTTTGCCGTTCAACCTCAGAACAAGGTGCTCTCAAAAGAGACATCTTAGGGGAAGCGACGGGATCATAGGTGTCCTTTTTGGTTGTTTTGCTCGAAAAATAGATGGCGATTCCTGGAGAAAACCTGGTGGTGCAAGATCATCTACCAGGGATATCCATCTATCACCTATGAAAGTTTGAGGGCTTTTTCGGGGCCCCTCGATCGGAAGTGAGTGACACCACCGAGAGGAGATCTCGCGAAGCGATCGCCAGGCTGTAGCGCTGCTCTTCTCCGCGATAACGATGTCCGGGCCTGAGTGATCCTACTGAAAAGGGGCATTGTACGTCAGGATGATTCTCCCAAGTGGTTATCTCCAGGCTTACTAGCCACTTGCTACGTACCGTGCCCCTTTAAGTAGTTTCGGGGATCAAAGAAATGTGTGTCAAGATACGGACCCCCTAACAAAAGGCAGTCCTTTTGATTCATGTAGCCAAGCAGAAAGGGGACTAAAAAACCGAACTGAAGCAGCTTACGGTAGAAAGATTTCTTTGGACTTTTTTGGGGTGCCAGGCATGTAGGAAGGACAGATACACGATTTAGATATATTTAGATATATCTTTTTTTCGGGGAGGGTTGCTCCTTTGGCCGTTTCAGACAGATCGTCAATCCCACTTTAAATTTGGGTAAAGGAGTTCCCTTTCCCTTCCAGGGACCGAGTGTACCCAAAAGTGGTGCTTGCACCAAAAGGATCCACCAGAAAAATCAACTTGATGACGAGTTCACGCGGGTTGACCTATCTCGCTGGCATTACGAGTTAGCTATTTAGGGGACTTGTTGCCTATGAAAGCGTACTCCACGATCATAATGGGGTTCGTGTTTGATAGGACAACACCCCCTCAAATTGGTTGGCAGGCATGAGCCGCCAATTGATGTCCACCAAATCGTCAATCGAATTCTATACCCATGGGTCAAAACCAAACCACAGGTTGTCCATCTGTCCATTTTCCAGGATTCCGTTTTTTGGGCGTACCCGCGAACATATCTTTTGGGCAAGTGTTGGGAAGGATCATTATGTTTGCGCATTGCTGAGATCTTTCAAGCTGCACATGGTGTCCCTTTTAGAATCGAAAGGCCTGGATGCAATCACGTTCTGCCTAAAGACATAGGTTTGGACCCAGTTGTTCAGTTTTGTTCATCCCCAAATCCTCAACGTGTGAATCCATTCCTTGGGCAAATTGGAAGATGCGCACGCTTCAACCCTGCCCCCTGTTTCAGCAAGTGCAGAGATCCTCTTCCGAAACTAGAACTTTAAACTTCTTGGGAAGACCATTTTGGTGGTAAACAACGAGTTTAGACCTTTTTCTGGCCAATCCACTCAGGAAGTGAGGAAAAGGGACACGGTCAAACGATCCAACGGTAAAACCTCTGCCGCACTGAGGGAGATCAATGGACCGCCGAGAGCTTCACTGGTAGCTTCCCGACCCAAAAGTCCACCAACCCTTTCCCAGCAATCCATTGGATGTTTGGGAAACTATCTGGTCAAAATCAGTGGCACCTGGGTGTTGATCCATATTGCGTTCGGACCCCACACTGCTCATGGGTAACTTTCCCTGGCTTCCAGCCAATGGTCGCCCCGTGTAACCCATCGGACATTTTGATCAACCCTCAAATGGCATCCCAAAGCGAGGCACTTGCAGCTGAACGTGATCGCCTGCAGTGCAGCCATCAGCGCGTGCGCCGCGTGCGCCGAATGGCAGCCGGCGCTGGCCGTGCTGCGGGCAATGCAGGTGACGCAGGCGGGTGACAGCAGCTGAGCCACTTGTTGAAAACCCGGGTGGATGAAGGTTAGTAAGGGAGAATCCCAACCATAAATAGCTGTTTAATTCTTTACATGGTTGGTAGACCATTTTAACACCAGGTTTAGATTATGACTCAGGTGATCAAGTGGGTTTATGTGTCTGTTTTGAGAGTATTCGTAGGTTGGTCAAAGGGATGTCTGGTCCAAGTTCCAGGGTTTACAGCGAGCTTGCCTGGGATCAGGCGAGCTCATGAAGCTCCTTTGCTACTTCGTGTCCTTAGTCAAATGGCTCTTGGGTTGCTACTTTATGTGTGGAATGATTTGATCCTGCGGTGCCTTGTTCATCGTCCGGCAAGATTTCTTTAGCATTCGGCGTTTACGCTATTGTCTCAGTATATAATCGGTATCACAGCGCCCAAAAACCCCCTACAAGTTCTATTTGGACCTCATGCGTCCGAAAACGCGCCTTCCTTTGGTTGCATCCAAGCGCGGTTGCGCAGCGTGGCGCAGCGACCTCAGTGAGAGCGTCGCTCAAATCCGCGGGCCGGCACCACGCGATGCGTGCATCCAAGCGCAGTCGCCTGGCTCAAAGATTTGGCAAAATGGTTCGTGGCAACGTGCACGGCGACAGCATGGCTTTGATGCAGTTGTTCCGGCTCACGGCCGGCGCCTTTCATCCCAAAGCCGAAGCGAGCGCGTGTAATTGGCGGAGCGTGCGATCTCCACGGCAAAAAGACAATCGGTTCCCGTTGGCTGCTTCACAACCCATCTCCTGACGCCTACTTTTGCAGCGTTGCAGCGCATATGCTGTGTGGAATGCGATTTCCTAATTGCGAAGACTACGTTGCCGAGCGAAAACATAACCCATGCGCGAGGCGTTCCATGATCCGACCTGAAATCGCGATGACCATTGTTTGGGTTCCTTCCGTGGCTTTATGTCGGGTTTGGGCACACCTCTGCCGTAATCATTCATCGCAGTTGGGGTCCTTTACAGAGATCATGTCTAACTGAACCTGCAAGAGCTCGATGGTTGTTTTTTCAGAGGGGCAAGTCCCATTTCAAGAGGGGCTCGCTTTCGTCCATCGACACTTCCCAAGAGGCTGGTGCGCCACTTCAGCCAGCGTACGGAACTTCTGCTTCTTGCCCCCGACTGAGCTTTAAACGTTATCGGGTGAATTCCTTCCCTGTGAGCCCCTTTTTGTCAATCATGGCGGAGTCCTTGTACACCAGAGGCCTGTTTGTGAAAGTGCCTAATTTTCAAGGCGGATTGCCAGCTATTGGGTGGTGTGTGCGGCCATGGGTTGGCGGCACCCTTTCTTTTGGAGTGAACCATGCACGCAGAGACTTTGGGAAGCATGGGAGAAGAAATATGGGGCAAATTGTTAAGATGTGGATGAGCAACCAGGACGGGGATTCTGGCTGGTGGTGCTTCATCATATCCCATGGCTTTCGTGGTGGTGGGGGACGTGGGCTACGCCAAGGAATCCCTTATTCCAGGGTTTTTGATATGATCTCGCCAAATACTCGTTGTAAACAAGTGCAGATCGCTTTTCCATGGCAAAATGTGCCGATTTCTCAATTTGGTGTTGTAGGTCCACGCTCCACGGCCAGATACCTCCCAATATGATCAGCTACAATGCGACCATCAGCGGCTGCGGAAAGGCTGGTGAATGGCAGCGTGCACTGGCGTTGCTACACCAAGCAGACGCAAGCGGCCTGACCCCTGACGTAGTCTCCTTCAACGCTACTTGCAGCGCGTGCGGCAACGGCGGAGCATGGGAAGTTGCACTGTTTCTGCTGGGCGAGATTTCAAAAAGAAGCATGCAGCCCACCATCATCTCGTGTAATGCTGGCATCAGTGCTTGCGAAAAAGGCGGGCGCTGGCAGCAGTCACTTCATCTGCTGTCCCAAGTACATCGACGGCAGCTTCAGGCAACGATCATCACCTACGCATCTGCAGTCAGCTCCTGCGAAAAGGCGGCCCAATGGCAACTTGCGCTGCAGTTGCTGGAGGAACCTCGGCTGCTGTTTGGTTGTGTCTTGAACCTTTCACTTTTCTGGACACTGTGTTTTTGCTGCTGAGCAACCAGGTAGTTAGACGGGTTAAGCTTCTTGTAGTCGTGAAATGTGTTGGTTTCAGTGAGCACTTGTTCTTGTCACTCCAAAGAACTCCCCGGCCTAAAGCCATGGACCCGGAACAAGACCATGGGCTTTTTGTTGGGGGGGGTTCCTTGAGTTTTGGTTGGGCTCCTGGCATTCTTGGTTCGCCAGGAGTCAATGTCCAGCGCGCTGGCGCCAAACGTCGTCTTGTACGGAGCCGCCATAAGCGCCTGCGAAAAGGCCGGCGAGCGCCGCGCAGCTCTGCGGCTGCTGGGCGACGCAGCGTCTGCACGGCTCGAGGCAGACGTGGTGATGTACAACGCCAGCATCAGCGCCACATGGCTTCGGATCTGAATCTTTTGGCTCGAGGTACGATTGAAACATGGTTGTTACCATGTTGTTGGGAAACATTTTTACATTTTCGCTTATTGTGGTTTAGTTTTGCTTATAGTGGTTAGTTGGCTCTCTAAGGAGTCCAGGCTGTGTTTTCAACGATGAAGCATAAAGTCATTCACCTCAAGGGGCACAAGGGCTACCCTTTTCATGGTTGGTGTTGGGAAACATGTTGCATTTTTGCTAGTGGTTTAGTGGTTGAAATCCAACCACTTAAGTGCTAAAGAATTGATGTTGGCTCCCCAAACCCAGCGTCAACCAAGGAAAGGCGCCGATCTTTCGGATACTGTTGGATGTGTCCAATTGTTGAGCTCGAAAAGCTTATGGCTGTGGTCAAGAGGGCGCTTCGGTAGGTCAACCCTTGAGGCAACCCTTGACTAATGGAACCACGACCCACACGTCCTTTTCAGCAGGCGGAAATGCTATAGGCACAAAGACATCTTGCTTTAGTCAAGCTTACTCCCTGAGCTCCGTTTCGCGCTTTCGCCCACTGTTTTGGGAAGGACACCTCTTCCTCTTTTTTTCCGTGGTACACAGAGCTTCAGACTTGTTTTGGCCAGTCCGGATCGCTTCACGAAGAGAGAAACCAACCCTTCCATTTCCTGAAAAGAATATTGTTCATTTTCCCTTTGGTTTTAAACGGATTTTATCACTACTGGACATATGTTTATTTGATTTCCACGTCGGAAAACCAAAAATGGAAGAAAAAAACACGGCGACTGAGGCCTGTGAGAAGGCCGGTGACTGGCAGCAGGCCCTCAGTTTGCTGCGGCTGGCCGACGGCAACGTCATAAGCTACCAGCCAACAAACCCGCCGAGTTTTTCCAGCAGTGGGATAAATTTGAAATTGAGGGCTTGCGAAGCCTGAAGCAGAACAAAGTTGTGTGTTTCTGTTGTTGTTTTTTGGCTTGGTGAGTCTTTTTTCAACCAAGAATCGGTGGGGGGGAAGTCGGTGACATAGGTGATTGCTTTTTCTTTCCCACCCAAACGCCAAGGCGCGTTTGCGAAGCCCGACCGCCAATTTTGTTCGCTTTTCTGGGCCTGAATGAAACAGGGCATGGGGGTCGACAAGACCCAACCTCCCATTTCGCACCACTCGCTTTTCTGTGATCTCCCAAAACCATTCTACTGTATATTTGGGGTAGACTAAATATGACACATAATCCGAAATGCATACAAGTATAGGTTATTGTTTAAGATTTTCTGTGCACCCAGATGGGCCATATGTTTTGTTGACCGGGGAGCAGGGAGGAACTCCGCAGGCTACAACGCCACGATCAGCGCATGCGAAAAGGCCTCCCACTGGCAGCATGCTTTGATGCTCATGGCCGAGATGGCGAGCAAGGGCTTGGAGCCGGACATGTTGCTTGATTGCTATTGGGTTGGATCTTTAGACTTTAACTTTTTGGGATTTCAAGGGGTTTTCCATTAAACCCACAAAAAGTTAAGCTTTTTGCAGAGGGGTCAACAGCATCAAAGGTTGCCTTGACCCGAACCAGGTTGTTATTTTTCTTTTGGGGAGGGGACAAGGCTTGTCTTTGCAAGCAACCGAAACAGGTGAATATATGCACACTATGTAAACGTAACCATTAGATAGCATATATAATCATATATATATATATATACACACACATTGTTGGTTTGGGGCTACAGCTACCCTCCACAAACCACCAGCACCAGCGGCCAGGTATCTTTCTTCTTTATAGTTAAGATGTTCGAGGGAAATCCTTTTGTCACGAAAGCTAGCTTTAGCTAGCTGAAGTTTCTCCTTGCGTAAGCAAGGTAAGGGGCTCAAATGCCGAAAGATTGATTTTTTCAATTATTTGAGCCGAAAAGATTGAAAAACATCAATTATTTAGACCCCCCCCCCTCCCCCCCCCCCCCGGTCTCAGGCTCGATTCCTCCCTGGTCCATCCCCCCCCCGGGCAGTGGCTCAGTGTTCAGCAGTCTCGGTTTGCCCGTTTTGGACTTGGTGCTACGAACTTTTACATGTTCCACCGATTCAGCTTGTTCATTTGAGACCTCAGTCTTCTCGGTAAACCACCTCGCAAGAATCTTTGCACGCAGCATGCAGAACCCAGAGGTGCTTTAAGACAGCTTCTGACGCCTCTCGTTGTTTTCATTTTTCAAGGTTGGCCACGCCACCATGTGCGTTTGCGTGTCGCATCCTACGAATCTTGCCGGGCCTCTCGTTGTACACAAGCTACCTATGAATCCACTCTGTCACCGACGCATCTCATGCAACAACTGCTAGCTTTCGTTCACCCGCTCCTCAAGTTTTATCATCATCGTTATGCTTGAGGGAAATTTGTCAGTTTTATCATCATTGTGAAGATGCTAAAAGGGAGACTCAGCTATTTGGTTATACTCTCGCCCGACTAGCATGGAAGGGCACACACCCCTGTTGGAAAGGCTTTCGCTTTGAGCACTTCCGTGTTAGCTGGTGGGAGGGTAACCTAGGTGATAGCCCACTTATGCCTCAGTTAAGAAAGGGAAATCAAGTTGTTTTGTTATAGTAAATAATTTGAAGGGAGATCTGGTTCTTTAAGATCTTCAAGGGCAATCCAGTTTTTGTTAGCATAGTTCACATGATTTTGTTATCTTGTTGGTGCTCAGCTGGTTAAGATCTGGTATTTTCCCCATGTTTTTGCCGCATAGTTGTTCGGTTTTCACCCGGGTTTTCCCTGTTGTTTTGCTAAGAAGGGAAATCCAGTTGTTTTGCTCTAGTTAAGATCTGGTGTTTTTACCGTTTTTGGTAACGCACAGTTGTTCGGTTTTTCGCCCCTTCGCCCAGGTTTTCACTGAGCAGCGCCGTGCGCGCCTGCGCCGTTGGCGCCTGGCGCCAGTGTTGCGCGCTGCTGAGCGCCTCCGTCGCTACCGCGGACGCGGCGGCCTACAGCGCGGCGGCGCGGACGACGCGGATGCCGGCGTCCCCCAGAAACGAAAATGGCGGCGTCCTGAAAAATTCGACTCACGGAATGTGTGGTTGTCCTTTTGGAATGTGTGCTTCCCCCTTATGGGTGTTGTTAAAAGAAGGAAGCCAAAACAAAATGTTCTTGACGGTTTCCCTTAAATGGGGTGTCCCTAAAATGGGTTTCCCTTAAATGGGGTGTCCCCAACATGGGTTTCCCTTACAAAGTGGGTGTCCCACGTAATGTGTGGTTGTCCTCTTGGTGTCCCTTCCAAACTTACAAGGGTACCCAAGGGTGTTTCTCAAATTGGGAACCTCTACAGGTTGGCTGCCTTTGGGTGTCCCAGCCGACAAGGGTTGCTCTATTATGAGAAAGACTCTGCTTTTTTAGGGGACCCCAAAAATGGGCTTGATTTGGTTTGGCCTTTGTTTAGGGGAACCAGAAGATTCGTTTGTTTTGACTTTCCTTTTGGTTGCCCCTTTGATTTTGAACCTGCCAAAACAGGTACCCTCAAAGCAAGACACACACAAATACACCTACACGGGAAGGCTTTGCGGGTTTCATGTTTTGCAGGGGAGAGGGTTGTGTGCCTGCGTTTCACGCTTGTGTTTGCCGATGTTCGAAAAGATCTATGTTTTGAAGAACAACATGTGGTTTGAACCCAGAATTGTTTGTTTTTGTTTGATTCACACAACACACACACACACAAACGGTGGTTGTTTTTTTGGTAAGACTGTGCTTGCTGGTTTGCTGCATTTGCGTTGTGTTGTCGTTTGCCTTTTTCTGTTTGCTGCACTCTTTTGAGGAAGAGCCGAGAACCATGAGATCCTAGAAGAGAGGGTGTGTCTTTTTTTCTGGGTGCTAGACAGCCCATCTGGGTCCCCCAGTAGTGCCCTTTTTAACCCCCTTTTTTGGTTCGGAGGGTTCCCCTATTAAAATAGACAAAAAAGTAACAAAAAACGGATCGGGTACCAACCTATTCTAACCTCGAAAACTGGAGGACCTGGAAGAGGACACCAGCCATTTGGGAGGTCCAAATCCCTATTTTGGCACATACCCAAGGCTCGGGTACCTGATTCTAGCCTGGAAAACTGGAGGACCTTGCCAACTAATGGGCTTTCCGTATTAAACCACTAAAAGTGTTTGTCACTTTTGGCCGGGCTTCTCAGATTTCGCAACGGTTTCTTGACAGACCGACCCGTTTCCTTGGGAGGCCAGCGCCTGCGGCAGCCCCTGGCGCTTGGCCCTCGCGCTCGCGGCTTCCGCCGCTTCCGCCGCCGGCGCCTCCGCCAGCGCGCCGCTCTGCGGGGCAGTGGTGACGGCTTTGGGGGAGCGGCGCAGGCCGGGAATCGGTTTTCGGCCGGGGGGTAGGGGTTTTCAAAAGGAGGTTAGTTCAAGCAATAGGGGCTGGAAGATGTAAGAGAGCTTGAACCGCATGTTACGACTCGGGTGGTTGGCTTTAGTTTATCAGCTACCTTAACTTGGGGTGATTGCAAGCGGGACATCACCAACTCAGTCCTGAAAAGACCTCCCCACTGTCACTGGTTTGGGTGAGTTATTTCAAGGGAAGCAAGATGGACACCCATTGGTTGGGTTCGGCCTGTCATCGCAGCCTGGCATTTTTAAAGGTCGCATCGGACATTCACAGGGTACTCCGAGCCTCCAAGCAAGGACCGCACCACAAGAGTAGAAGATGTCTGGGTCCAAAACCCTGTTTGGGGGCGTCTTTTCGTAGGGGACCCCCCCACCCCCCAAAAAAGACACCAATAAACTGGCTTCGGATTTCCTGTTGGTTTCGGGTTTTCATGGCTCTTTTAGCCCCAACCGCCATCCTCCGCCGCCCGAATCTTCGGCTTCGTCGTCTCGCGCGAAAACCCAGCGACGCGTTGCAGATGGCGAAGCGCCGCGGAGCTTCTGAGGCACGAATGAATGTGGGTCTGCCGTTTGTGCAGGGCACCAGTTTTTTTGAATGTTTAAAGGCAAAACCACCCATGGTGGTTGGCTTTCAGTGGGAAAACACAATTTGTGTTGTACATTGTTTTGGGAAGGGTGGGTGGGTGGTTAAATGAACAAGCACAATGGGTGGCGGTTTCAAAGGAACAACACACAAAATGGGGATCCCCCAAACAACACCCTACCTGGGGTTTCTAGGGAGTGTCATGGAATCATTATTGACCGCGGCAAGGGTTCCTGTGAAGAATGACCATGGTAGAAAACCTCTGGACTGGGGCAAAGTTCAAAAGGGAACCCTTCCTTCCAGGGATCCTGTCTCTCACTTCCTGAGTTCATGAACTTTAAACTTTTTGGGAAGACCATTTTAGTGGTGAATATAAAGTTTGGGCCGTCCACTCAGCAAGTGAGGTCTAGAAAGCCTCCAGAAACCCAGGGAAGAAGGGCAGGTTTTGAAAAGAACGATGGTTGACAAGGCTGGAGAATCAACCCGTTGAACTTTGAAGGAACCCTGTGGTTTCCAGTTTTGTGATTCTGCATAAGTGAAAATGAATGTCACCAAGTTCCGTTATGTGGGCAAGTATAGAGGAAACCGGAATGGGGAGTTGTGCCATCTACATTCACCATTTTCTGCGGATGTGGCGTTTTAAGATAGGGAATCGCCAGGCATGGTAAGTTTCATATGTCACTTCACTGCCGTCCAACTGGGCACATCAATTTCTACAGGAAAATCGCGACATGTTCGCTTTTTTTCTGGCCAAGGCTTTGTGGATTTAACGGCAACTCGCTTCCCTTTCTGTTTGGGTTCTCCGGACACAGTCGCCTTGAAAGGGTCTACTTTTTCGACCAGGGCCACTGGGCGTCTAGGGAAGCGGTCACTCGAATGTCTAGGGTAAGGAGCTTGTATTAGTTACTAACTCCTCCAATCATGCCTAATTTGGTTTTGAACGTATCCCACAACCACATTGTGTTGTGTGTAAGCCATGGTTTTGTTTAAACAAAGCACACATTGAGTGTTTTGTTGGAAGATGTGTGTGTGTGTGTTTAAAACAAAAGGAATAGACAAACAGAACAAGCAAGTGATAGATGTATGTGTGTCTTGTTAGAAACAAAGAAAGAGCAAGCACATCCATGATTTAGACCCTTCTCAGCCTCCAGGCAAGCAGCGCAGCGCGGGCTGGAGCGCGGCCTGGCCAGCTGCGCCTTCACCACGGCCTTGGCCAAGGCGGGCCGCTGGAGGCTCTGCTTGATGGAGAGCCTCGGCAGGCGGCAGAAGGGATGCCCCGTCCATACTGCGGATGGACAAAATCCTGCACCACTTTGAAACCGTGGGAAACCATTGTTTGTTGGTATTTACAGGGGAATCATCATTCCAGGGTTTCTCAGGTGGTGCAGGATTTCGTCCATCCACAGTATGGCTGGGTCTTGCAGTAAAGAGAGGTTAGAATAAGGGTGCCAACTTTTTCTGTAGTCTATTTTACCAGAACCCTCCCAACCAAAAAAGTTGGTTGAGAAGGGCACCCAGCTGGGGGACCTAGATATGGAAGGGGTATGGCTGTGGGTCAAAAATATGTACCCAAAATGGCTTGCCCTCGGAAATGGAAACAGGGACTAAAACCTGTGGTTGCCTGGTGGTTTAATTTTGACCCATACCCGTAATATGGCTGCACCACCTAAAAACCCTAGAATGTTGATTCCCCCGTAAATACCAACAAACAATGGTTTCTCATGGTTTGAAGGTGGTGCAGGATTTCGTCCATCCGCAGTATGGCTAGGGCCCAAAACAGGTCACAAAACATGGAACCCAATGGGCAAATTGCCGTGGATGGTTGCGAAATTCAAACATCGCACCATGAAATGAAAGCATGGTTGAAACCATAACGTTTGTTGGAATTTACGTCAGGGGAATCATCAAAAAGCAGGGTTTCTGGTGCAGGATTTCGCGCATCCACAGTCTGGCTGTGGCTACCAAAAAAGGTATCACAATGGCACCAAAAGGTAAATGGAACTAAAGTCTGCGTAACCATAGATCTTTAAGTTTGAGTCGCACCCATATTCCAAGTATCTGGGGTCATGAGTTTGCTTGTTTCTATAGGGGTTATCAAAGTCAGAATTGTGGCTTTCCTTTAACCTACCCCTTGGGTGACTTTGATACTGTGGATGGACGAAATCCTGCACCACCTAACAAACCCTGGAAGTATGATTCCCCTGTAAAGCAATGGGCCAGAGTAAACCAGGCACAGTCGGGGATTTGCAAGGTGTCCAACTTGTAGGCGCCAGTGCTTCCAGGTAAGTCACTATAGGTATAGTAGGGATCACCAGGGATCACCATGCAACCTAAAGGTAAGGATCCCTGGTTACATACTATTATGGGGGCTGGGGAGGAGGGAGGGGAGGGGGAGGGAGCCCAAAGAAGCAGTAAATAAGGGCTAAATAAGGGTTTTTTGGGGCTCCCTCCCCTCCCCTCCGCCCCCATGATACTATAGCGGTAACTGGAAGCACCGGCGCCCTTCCTGGCGACATTTAGGCCACCCGCTGTTGTAAGCGACTGGGACGGTTTTGCGTAGGTCCCCCAAAGATTTGCCTTTCCATCGTTCATTTCCTGGTTCTTTCAGACTGGAGATCCCCCACCCCTCAAAAGGCCAAATCAACCAGGGGTATCTGGAAAAATGATGCTTCACGTTTGGCTGGTTTCCCGGAGATGTGTGTGTGCCATTTTACCCTTTTTTTGGGGAGGGTTCCCCTACTAAAATAGTCTACAGAAAAAAAATCGGGTACCATTCTACCCTCTCTACTGAAGGACCTAGTTGTAGAGAAGTGTTTCTTGAAATGTTTCGGGCGACCCGAGTTACTCGGAACAAGGCTCAGGCCGCAAGGGACATCCAAGTTCTTTTCATGGCCCAGGCACTTTGGGCGCAAGTTTGTTGGATTTCACGGATCCGCGATTGTTCTCTCGGCGTCCCTTCACAGAAATAAGTGGAGGTGAAGGACAGTCCCACCATACTGTGGATGGACGAAATCCGTTCGCACCACTTTTCCGAAACCCTGGAATGAGGATTCCCCAAATGCCAAGAAACAATGCTTTCCCATCTTTTCAATTTGATATGGGTTTGGGTACAGCCATTTAGCACCAGGTTTTGATTCTGACTCAAATGGGGTGGGCGCACTATCTGCGACACGAAGGGAAACCTTACTGCGAAGTAACAAAGTAGTACTACAATGGTGCACCTTGCTATCACAGAAAGGGCTGTGTCCATGGTTCAAAACTGCACTGGTGGGCTTCTATGTTGGATTCTTGGGAACTGTAGCCTGCTGAGCTGCGCTTGGGAGAGGTAGGTGTGTCCTGCAGATAGCGGATCTCAACGTGGCGGCGTTCCTTTGCTCAAACTAACCCAGAAAAGGTTCCCCCCCGAAACGGCAAGATCGCATCTTGCAACAGGGCCGACCTCCAATATCGTATGGTTCAACAAACAGAACATCCAGACCCGAAAAAGAAGGGCTCAAACCTAGAGAATAGGGTTATTGGGCTATCTTAGCACGTGTAGTCGTCATAAGAAAAAAATGCATGTAACTGCAAAGATCCAGCTCTTGAACAACCCCCCCTGCTCCCCCCAAAAACACACACAGACACACACACACAACAAAACAACAAATAAAACTGAGAGACACAAACTCGTGGAAGCCCTTTTTTCGATGACAGACCCGGGTAGCTGTTGCTGTCCTTCCGGTGACTTCCGAGGAAGGAGTCCCAGTGGCTGCAGAACCTGGCGGTGAGCGCGTGCGAGAAGGCGTGTGCGAGGGGCCGCCGAAAAACGGCCTTTGGAGTAGGAAGGCCGTTGGGAGCTGTTGATAGTCTTCAAACTTGGAGTCAGGAAAGGGATAAACACGTTTCAACATCAAACCGTCAAAATATTAAACGTTGCACGCCTCCCCTTATCTTCATTGAGTTCATGTTGACCCCGAATGAACAAGCCCGTCCTGCTACTGTAGGCGGGCATTCCCTCCAAAAGTGGTCTGAATCCCCACTAAAGAAGGGCACCGCGAAATCATTCAACCAGGGATGTTTTTGTTGGTTATTATTATTATTATTATTATTATCACTATTGTTGGGTTCTTGTTTCCTTCAGCACCATGAAACACCATCCAAACCTGGGTCCCTTCATTTTGGCCACAGTTGGCCGGCCAAGAAAGCTGAAGATCTATGGGGTGTTGGGCTTCGATCTCTGGCCCATGAAAAATTGAACCCTCGAGGTGAAGAAACCCCTTTGCCTTTGAGATACCCGCAAAAGACCAGATGTCAAGACATCCCAAGACCAAGTTGTCTTTAGGGGGAAGCCCCACGAAAATTGCCAAGAACAAGACTCTTAAGGAACAAATTCCCAAGAACATCCAGTGAGAAACTCCCTTTTGGTTGTTTTTTAAACACCATTTTGGCAACCGTTAGTGATTTTCCCTTAGGAGACATGGTTTAAGCAGCAATTTGGGCCTGTCTTAAAATGGGGGGACCCCAACAAGTTGTTTCTGGATAGACCCAAAATATACCCTCCCTCCATCCTTTTGGGGAGGCTCCATGTCCACTTCCGTGATTCTTGGAGGGAGGGTAGATCAGAGAAGAAAAAAAAAGGAAACACACCTATTTGTGGTCTGAATAGGGCTCACCAAGGAGCTCTGGGATCTTTGATGGATCCTCCGGAGCCGCTGGCCATTTCTTTCTCCGTCCCTTTGGGGATCATTCGCTTAGGATGAAGCCTCACTTCCTGAGTTCATGAACTTTAAACTTTTTGGGAAGACCATTTTAGTGGTAAATATAAAGTTTGGACTTTTTTGGGCCGTCCACTCAGCAAGTGAGAAGCTGAGGTCAAGGTGTTCCCAACCGCGGGGACCCGTCTGCGCCGCACGCCCGGCGCGCCAGGCCTGCGAGGTCTTGGCGGCCGAGAGGAACCCCGGGACGCGGCGACCAAAATGGGAGCGGGGCGCGGCGACTGAAGTGGACCCACACGTGGATGTGTGTGGGTGGGTGGGGTGGGCGGGTGTGTGGATAGGCATAGTTGTTTGTATACAACTATATATATATATATATATATTTGCATACATATATCAATTCTACCCATCCGCTAAATTGCTGAAGTAATCGGGGAGCATTTGATGGGAGATGGGTGTGTCCTTTTTTATTCCCCCGTCTCCCCAAAAACTGTGGTTTTTCCCTCTTGGTTTCCCTTTAAATCCACAAACAGCGGGTACCCCCAAAAAACGATGGACCCAAACACGCATGTAAATTGTCACTTTGATGTAGCCAGTTTTTCTTAGACTGCCGTTCACCCCCAATATAGTGTCTCCAGCGCAAAAGTCTATGAAGTCCAAACTTGTCAAGCAAAGAATCACACCGGCAGAAAAAGGTCACCTGTGACGGTGTTGCTTTGGAGGCAGGGCAAAGCTTTTACCAAGGGGTAAAGAACACTATTGGGTATCACAGAAGTGGACACAGCTTTTCCAGTGAAGTTTATGTCTATGGGGGAGGTTTTCCTTTGAACATCCAAAGTCGGGTACCCTGAGTTAGAGCGTAGAATCTCTTGGTTGCCATTGCCAACCGCCTACTCACATCCTAGGCTCGAGCAGTTCATGTGTGTTCCCTGTTGAGCTCGCAGACAGCTTGTTCTTGGTAGGGTTCCTTATCCTTGTCAAGGCCCAAAGGATTGTTATCTGACCAGTCTCAGCAGGTCTCGGGTTTTCTTCTGAGCCTCATGAAGTCAAGCCCCTCCCCGCCGTCTTTGTCCGAAGGTATTTTACCCCTCCTTGGAGGTGCTGAAGGATGCCACTCGCTTGGTTCAATGGAGCAACAATCAGCCTCAGCAAATGCAAGCGATCCATCAGGCTTCGGAGAAATTGCGAGTGGGTCCAGTTTCGTTCTTACGGGTGCCCAACTCAAAAACAGATACACCCAACCAGCAAGAAAGGCAGCCTTCGCCCAAACCATTGGTTTGCTTGAAGGAGACCTTGAGGTGAATTTTCCCAGAACCGTGAAGAGGTGGGCAACCCATGAGCCAAGCTTTGGCGAGGCTGAATCCTTTCGTTACCTCATTTGCGCACAGGGACAGACGCACAAGTACTTCCTGGATCGCCAGTAACTGGGACAGCCAGCAGCAGCCAGCAGCAGCAGCAGCAGCAGCCAGCAGCAGCAGCCAGCAACAATTTGCAGCGGTGTACACACCTGAGACCTCATAAACTTAAGGGGCATGTTTTTGGGGGACCTCACTCTTATGAAGACCGCCGCTTGGATTTGCAATGAAAACATCCTGGGATAAGAGTTTTAATACGTTTTGTTTTCCCTTTTCCATGCACTTTACCCCAAAAACCAGCAATAGTGACTGAAAAAAGCTGCAACTTGGCTATCTAGGTTGGTTCCATTTGGCCTTTGGGAGCTTGGGCCACAGAGCATTTGGCAACGAGATTGGAGCATTGATGTCCTTGCTCTTCGTTCCAGCCATGGTCTTGGAATTTGGGCGAGGCCGCGCGAGTGCATGCTCGCTCGGCGCGACAATGCGGGCATCATCAGGTACACCGCCGCTACCCAGTTGCTGATCAGTGCTCTTCTTTTTTTCCGGGCGCAGCATGAGAAATCCGTATCGGTCAATGTCCTTGCCGGAAGCCAAAAGGGTATTGTGTGTAAAGTGTTTCCAGGGTCCCATGCGTCAAAGGACTCTCTAAATGTTGACAAAATCTAGGCGGCAACCCTAAATTCCAGGAGCCTATTTTGACATTGACACTTTGCCTGTTGATCCACCTTGTTGTGACATCGGCCGTAGATGTTCTTTTGGTTGACATTTGCGACACGGACCTCCCCATTTTTTGGCGACATAGCCCTTAGGTGAGCCTTTGCCAAGTTTTACCACCCAGTTTGGGCAGTCTTTTTGCCCCGTTTTGGCAACAGCTGGTCTCCTTTTGGTTGGATCGAAGCTTTGCTAGGTCCCCCAGTAGTGCCCTTCTCTCCCCCTTTTTGGTTGGGAGGGTTCCCCTAGTAAAATAGCCAAAACAGAAAAAAGTTGGTACCAACTTATTTTTAACCTCTACTGGAGGACCTAGAATTTGGTTGCGCTTCCGAGGCCATCGGTGCCTGCAGCAAGGCGTCCTCCTGGCAGAAAGGCTTCCACCTTTGGCAGACGCTGCGCCTCGGCACGGCCGGAAGCCCCAGTGGTGCGGTGCAACGCGCGTCCGAGATCCGAAGCCGCGGTGGGAAAAGAAAAACGTGGACTCGGCGCTCTGGGGCGGGCGGCGGGTCGTCGTCCAGTTTCGGTGGTGCACGAAACACGTATCAAGGGCAGCGCCGGACCAAATTCCTCGGCCCTTCCTTTGCCCCTGGAAGCCAATGCGAAGCCCCAAAAAGGGTTCCAGGTTTCTAGGTGTTCGAGGGCAGTGGTTTGCCTAGAAACCTTCGGTTGCAGATGTTCCTACGGGGGATTTGTATCCGACGGATTTGATTCCGCCAACCTTAAGTCAATCTAAACTATACACCCTGCCACGAAACTTCCACTCACAGACGTGGCTTGGTGCACTGTTTTCCTTTCTAAGAGGACGGTCTTCCTTAAACGATGCCTGTCCACCGAGCCATGCTTCTTGGAGGTTAAATGGCTGTGGGTCAAAGCCAATGGTACCATTTTGGGGTAGTAGGTGCACCACCCAGTTTGGTCTATTTTAGTGGGGATTGGGATGTACGACTTGGGTTTTGACCCATGGCCAAATATGTGAATACCTCCCCTTCTGCAGATTTTTCCCTTGCGGATTTGGATCGCATTCAGGTGAGTGAAATGTAGCAATTGCTGATGTGTTCTTGTGGAAGGGTCCCGGGCCATGGGTAACGGTGGCATGTGACAAGTAGCTAAACTCGGGCCAAGGGCTATTCTAGCCCCCCAAAAACATCACTGAAAGGAACCAAATAACCCAAACACGAAAAGCAAGAGGCAAGAAGCAATCAACCACACAACACATCAACAACCAAACAAAACAGCACGTACCAAGAGCAACCAAGAGCCAGCAGCGTACCAAGAACCAATAAACCAACACCGCGTACCAAAAGCCAAACCAACTTAAACACGTAGGAGCCCAAACTACAAAGCACACCAAGAAGAGACTACAACTATATACGTGAATCCCCCATTTATATAGCCTGGTGAAGCCTTGCTGATCTGAGGTGCAGATCGACGTGGTTCTCTGCAGTGCTGTGCTGAGCCTCTGCGAGAAGGCAAAGAAGTGGCCGGAGGCGGGGAGGGCGCCATGCTCTGGGCTGGGCCGGGGTGGGCTGGGCTGGGGTGGGATGGGGGTGGGTGAGGTGGGGGGCGGGTGAAGTGGGTGTCAAGTTGAATTCAACAGCCAACAGTGGCTTAGCGTCATTGGAAAATGTGTATTTTCTGATGGACATCGAGCACCTTGGCAACTCGCTTTCCTTTTTTCGTGTCCTGACTTCTTTTTTTGGTTTTCGACCATTTGAGTGGTGAAAGAAATAAGGAGTTGTTTTTGTTGGCCAATCCACTCGATCGGAAGTGAGTTGTCCTGAAACCAATGAGGTGTGTGAGGTTTTAGCGTGTCTTTGGAGCTGCCCAGTTCCTCGATTTGTGCTATGTTTGAGAGGAATGGAACAGGGAACCCTTCGTCGGGTGGCTCGACGACGTTTGGTGACAGGTTGTTTGGCGGGAACCTCTTTTTGGGAACCGTTGTTTTTTTCCCCGAGCCCCAGCTCGGAGCTTAGCCCCGGCCAGGGGACTGGTTGGTTGGTTGGTTGGTTGGTGCGTCCGCACCCCCAGCATCCCCAGCATCACCGGCCTCGCTCGGAGGGCTGTTCAGAGTTGCTTCGGGCTGGTTTCGGGTGAGTGATGGTGAGTGTTGGGCTGAGGTCTGATATAAACGAGGGCGGGTCTTGGGTGTGTTTGGGGTTCATTTAGGCTTGAGAGGGGCTGATATCCCGGATGCTGCCGAAAGGGTTTTGGGCTGGTTTGGGTAACTTGCGCAACCACGCCCTGAAGCAGCCCAAAGGCTAGTGCAAAAACCGGGCCGCACACAACGCGCAAATCAGCTCTCCAAGCCAATCCAAACCGACTCAAAGTCAACCGTAAACCCTCCCGGCAGCATCCGGGATATCAGCCCAAATCAAAGCCAATTGGCAGCCCTAGTCCGAGCGAGGCCGGTGATGCTGGGGATGCTGGGCTAGGCCGCCCCAGAGAATACCACCTGTTGCCACCCAACCCGAGAGCGAAGCAAGGGCCCCCAGCCAACCTCTCCAGAGCCACATGGGGGATTTTGGGGTAGCATTTTTTGGGAGCGGCCAAATCTCTTCTTGAAGGAACCCTGAACCCCTGGAGGCTTTCCACATACCTTACCCCTAATTGGTGGCAAGGAGGTGACATTAGGGTTTCGCTTCCCAGAGCCAGGTGTCAAATCCCACCACTTCAATCCACCAAAGGGCCAGCTGAACAAAGAACTCTTAGAGTGGTTGGCCTTCCTTTTGGCTTTCCTGAAACACCAAAAGGGTACCAACTCCAAACAAAGACGCCGCCCACTTCGGTGCCCGCTCCATTTTTGCCGAGCAAGGCTCTGGCGCTGCTTCAGGACGCGGAGGAGAGCTTCTTGGAGCCCAACGTGGCGACCTGGCGGCAAGGTCAACTTATCTTATTTTTTTTCTTTTTTTTGTTTCGTTGGTTTTAAAGGGAATCGATCACTACTGGAAATATGTTTGTTTGTTTCCTTTTTTTTTCCGCGCGTGCAACACATGCTTCCATTTGCTGACATGAATATGTTTTAACTTTCCCCTGTTGGTTTTAAAGGGAATCTACCACTACTGGAAATATTTTAGTTTTTCCCTGGGGTCTTAACCAAATGGAAGCATGACTTGCGATCGGTGCGGTAGGTAGGGAATGAGAAATGGAATGAGCCGTTTTGGTATTCCCAAATAAAGGAAACCAGAGGATGGATGGTTTATCTCGGGGTCGTTCCATTTCTCATTCCCTGCTTTGCACCAGCAAGATGAGCAATTACGTTGGTTGCTTTGATTCCTTTGTTTTCCTGCACATGGGGGTGTCTCGAAATGAGGGGCGCCGTGAAATGGGGGCTAAGCATTAGCAAGTAAATACTAACCTGAGTTCAGTGTCGGACTTTAGTCACTTTGGGGGTTCGTCCTTTTGTAGTGGGAAGCAAAACGTGAGGGAGCTACTTTTGCCCATCCAATAAGGAAGTGAGATTATGTTGTTTACTTGGACTCCTTTGTTTGGGGGGTGCCTGAAAATGAGGGGCGCCCTAAAATGGGAGCTAAACAGTAGCAAGTACAGAACTCCCTAAGATCCGTGTCGGACTTTAGTCAAATTTTCGGTTTGGAAATGTTTTAGTGGTAAGCAATAACTTACGGAGCATTTTCGGCCCATCCAATCAGGAACTGAGTTTATGTTGCTTGCTTGGATTCATTTGTGTTCCTGCACTTGCGTAATTTCTCAAAGGACCCCAAAAGGATTCGAAATGATTGTTGATTTTTGCTGCCCAATGTAGCGCCTGTTTCGATAGTGTTTTTTTTGAGAAACCAAGAGCAAAAACAAATATTTGTGTTTCTTCCACGGATCTTTTGTTGGGGTTTTCACAGCACAGGGCACTTTTGACGTCAGGTGTGTGGTTGAGGTCCCTTCAAGTTCAACCAGCGAACCAGCAAAGGCACCTTGACTAGTTGTCCCTTAATTTGTCTTTCTTTACACAAAGTTGTCTCTGCTGAAATATGCTCTTTGGTTTTCTCCTTGCAGGTACATCCAGGAGGACTCTTTGCCCCGCGGCCAATGTTTGTTGGGGCTCCTTTCAAAATCAACATAAAGAGGGCGAGTTCTTACCCCACCCCCAAACTGGGATGCCTTTGGAGTAAACCAACCAGGGAACGGTTGCGTTGTCTTTCTTCCTCGGCAGCCACTTGCCAGATGGCACAGCCCAGATGCATTTTGGACAACCACGGCCAGCATTCCTGCTTAGGCACCTTGACCAGGAACATGTGGGGAGTTCTGACCACAAACAGGCCCTGCTATAAAGCCTGCGAAGAGAGGTACCAAAACCACCTACTACAAGGGCCTAAGTCATTCGAATTGGGTTGTGAGGTACTTCTGTACTTTTGTTAGACCCACTTATATATCCCTTTTTGGATGGTTTCAATATTCAGCCGAAAGCAGACTCATCACCTAAATCCCAAGTTTTGAGCGACACGTTGGCGTCTCAAGACAGAAGGAACCTTTGAAGGTCGGCGACTTTGGTTTTTCAAAAGACAAACCCTTGTGGGCGCACACCGACCCCCCCCCCACCACCAAAAATACACAGACACACATTCTCCTTGAGAAAGACTACCAATCGCCCATTTTCGGAGGTGTGTTTGCGGCCGGGCCCGGGGGGCTTTGGTGTTTGGTGGGCTTCCAGCGGAAAAGTTCGATGAGGGTTTTGTAGGGGACCGCCCCACTCCCCCCCCTTCCCAAAAAAAAGCAAGCGAATAATGAATGAGTACTGGTTTGCCTTTTTGGCTTGCCTTTAAACCAATCCCCAAAAAGGATACCCAGAAAGAAAAAAATATCAGACCCATTTGGACGCTCAGGTGGTCTTTAGTGCGGCCATCAGCGCTTCAGCTGGGCAATGGCAGTTGGCCTTAGACGTGATGCAAACCATGCGGCACAAGCAGGCACGGCGGCCAGCCCAAACACCTTTGTTGTGCCCGTGGTGTCCCCTTTTTTCTTGGATGGTAGAGGTTTCCCTTTTTTTTGTTCTGGTTGATGTCCCTTCAGCAGCTACCAGCAAAAGGTGCAGCACGCGCATTGCTGAGGAACAGAATCCATGTTTTCCAATGTTTTGTGCTGAAGTCCTCATTATTGAACGCAGAAAGAAACGCAACAAATCCCAGTCAGGGGTTGCACAGAAAGGGGAAATGTCGACAGTCGTCCTCGACCTCCAAACCCTTGTCCTTTAAACAGCTTTGTGGAACTGGCTTAAAAATCGACCTCAAGCCAAGAGGGAGCCTCGTTTTCTGGCCACTTAAGGTGTTTGTTTTTTGGGGTAACCCAATTGAGATCTGTCAAGGATAACGTGCATTTAAAGGAAACTGATTTGTTCACAATTGAAAGCAGGTGCGGCCGAACATGATCACTTTCAATGCGACAATTAGTGCCTGCGGAAGAGCTGGAGAGTGGCAGCGTGCACTGGCATTGCTGTACGAAGCAGACGCAGGCAGCCTGAGCCCTGACGTGGTATCCTTCAATGCCACTTGTAGCGCGTGCGGCAAGGGCGGAGCATGGGAAGTTGCACTGTTTCTGTTGGGCGAGATTTCAAGAAGAAGCATGCAGCCCACGGTCATCTCTTGCAATGCTGGCATCAGTGCCTGCGAAAAAGGCGGGCACTGGCAGCAGTCACTTCATCTACTGTCCCAAGTACGTCGACAGAAGCTTCAGGCAACCATCATCACCTATGCATCTGCCGTCAGCTCCTGTGAGAAAGCCAGCCAGTGGCAACTTGCTCTACATTTCCTGGGCGAATCTCGGCTCTGGGTTAACGTTTGGTGAAATCTTACATGGCTGTGGCTCAAAAATCGGTTCCCAAAATGGCTTGCCCTGGCTTTTTTGCACCAAAGGTCAAAACCTGCAGTCCAATTCCTGGTGCTTTGCCCTTGACCCAAGTGATGAACAATGAAAATATGGTTTGATCCTAGGTTTACGGCTGAGCTTTGAGTTCTCTTCAGGCACCCTGAGCTTCAAGACACAGCACAGGGGCCCAAGCCTTGGGAACATGGGTGGCTTCGAAAGAGAACCAGAGAAGATAACAGGGAATCAACCCCTAGAAATATAATATATATATATATGTATAATAGAAATATAGTGTATAATACGCATATATATATATACACACATATGTATATAATATGTGTTTTTCCCGAAACCAACTTCTCCGGTGGAATCAAAGACGGGGAACTTCAGTAGCGGCCTTGCTTCCCTTTCCACCAAAATCCCTTCGCCTGGGTTCCCTGGACCTTGCAATGGTCGCTCAAAAAATCCCCGGAAGGTGGTCAGGTGCGAAGTTTTCCCCACGTCGGACATGTATCTATTTTGTTGAAGACTTAAGCATACGGAGAGAAAGGTTAAACTTAGCTTGGTGGCTCCCAGCCATCCCCTTAGCTTTTTAGCCTTTTAGTGTTTACTGGTAGTTTCCATTTAGCCCACTAAAAGTTAAACTTTTAGCGGGAGATTTGAGGGCAGCCCAGTTAATATTCAAGGGGTGGACCGACCCAGGAATCTACGGCCAGCAGACTTGCGCCGAATGTTGTCTTCTACAGCGCCGCCATCAGCGCGTGCGAGAAGGCCGGCGAGAGCCGCGCAGCTCTGCGGCTGCTGAGCGATGCGGCGTCGTCACGGGTCGAGGCAGACGTGGTGATGTACAACGCGACCATCAGCGCCTCATGGCTGACAAGATTTGGTATGATTTGGTGTCACTTTCTGTGATATCAGGGGAACCCCCGTTAAAGGAACGACAACTGGCTGTGGTTGTCAAAACCAATGGGATCCCATTTTGGGGTAGGTGAATTCACCACCTATTTTAGTGGTTGGATTGGGATGTTCACTGGGGGTACGATTTGGATTTTGACCCATGGCCAACTGGATTTGGTTTGAGTTGGTGTCACTTTCTGTGATATCAAAAGAATCCCCTTTCAAGTACGAGGTCCCTCAGTAGTGCCCTTTTTACAAACTGTTTTTGGGGGAGGGTTCCCCTACTAAAATAGACAAAGCAGAAAAAACCATCGGGTACCAACTAGGACCTAGAGAAACCCTCACGGGTTTGCGCTTCCGTAGGCCTGTGAGAAGGCGGCGGAGTGGCAGCAGGCCCTGCGATTGTTGCGGGAGGCGCGGCCGAATGTCATCACCTACAACGCCAGCATCAGCGCATGTGAGAAGGCCTCCCACTGGCAGCATGCCCTGCTGCTGTTGGAGGAACTGCATCTGGGTCGATATATATATATATATACATATTAGTATATACATATATATATATATATATATATTTGGGGTGGGGGGTGGGGTATCCATTTGGTTCAAAGAGAAATCAAAAGAACATCGACTCCACACATTTTGAGACAAGCCCAAATTTGGAAGCGCCAGACTTACCGTGGGGGTCGGGTCGGGCAAAATGCGTAAGAAACACGCCGCAAGCCATGGCCCCCTTTGGGACACCAAAAGGAGGTCAAAACAAAAGTAGTCTAAAGATCGGTTTCTCTCAAAAGTCGGGGAACTCACATGGATGGTTTCCCTTCAATTTGCGTTTACCAAAAGAAGATACTCTCAAAACAAGACATGCCGACATATCTTAACAAGGTTTTGGCCCCACCGCAGTGTTTATGTTGGAAAAGATGTTCGAATCCCAGAAAATGGGCACCCCGCGCGTCGGCCGAGGCACGCGGGTGGTTTGCAGGCGGACGTGTTTTCTTACAGCGCAGCCATCAGCGCATGCGAAAAAGCCGGCGAGTGGCGGCCATCGCTGTCTCTTCTGTCCTGCTTTCAGTCAGGTGCGTGTCGAAAAATGACCCAGGTGAACATGGAACCTCTGAAAATCAGGTGTGTTTTTGTTGAGGGTTCCTTATGGCGGTTTTTTGCTTTTTCCGGGGGGGGCTCCTCTGAACAATGGCTGTTTTGTAGGGGTGTCCACACGTAAATGTGCAGGAGCCTTCTGGGCCCATGTGAAGATGTTGAAGGGTCCTCAAAGTTATAACCATTCACCTTGTTGCTTCCAAATGCTGAACAGAATAGGTTCTATTTGTCTTGTTGGTTATCAAAGCGGATGTGTCACTACTGGATATGTATTTGTATGTGTTTTACCATGAGACTTAAGCAAATGGAGGTTTAGAGAGTAATATTGGACACTTGAATGGTCCCAGAATTAGCGGCGATAGATGTCCTTCAGGCAGAAGTTGGGCGGGTTGTCGACATGAATGCCAATTCCGAGTTTTGTTCAGGGAAACCCTAGTCAGAGCAGCCCTTAAAACAGAGCATTTCAGAAAACTAAAATGGTGACCAGCCCTAAAAGTAGCGGAGTCCTTTCAAGTTGCCGGCACTTCAGTTGAGTCCTGACCATTCACCGGTATGGATTTGTCAAGGCCAGCCTAAGGGCACGGACACGGGTAGGCTAGTAGGGGGGCGAGATCCGAGATTCCAGCAAGACTCCAGATGGGTGTGGCTCAAAATTAAACAGGAGGGGCAGACCGCAGGTCTTGGTCCATGTCTCCACTTACCAGGAACCCATTTTGGAATTCCGGTTTGTTGAGCCACCGCCAGATGGGTCTGTCTTAGTTGGACCCCCCAAGGGTGGCTTTCCCTTGGGTTTCCCCTCGCTTCGGAGGGGAACCTTAAGGGAACCCTCCCAAAAATGTCCACACGCCCGATCATCTCAGACCCCTTTTTGGGCCTGTCGGTTTTAGGACTCGTCGCCTCTTAAAACCACTACAAAAAGGGGTACCCTAAAAACACACACACACGATTTGCTGGATCCAGGCGAGTTGGAAGCCCACATTGTGACTTTCAACTCCGTGGTCAGTAGCTGCGAGCCTTGCAAGCGGCTTCTTTCGGCCGGGTGGGGCAAAAAAATCGGCTTACAGAATTGGATCACCGCCCCCCCACGCTCCCTCAGACTAACTTGGAAGCTCCCAGAAGGCCCCTGTAAATGGAACCAAGTCGTTCAAGAGCTTCCATGTTGGCCTAGATGGTAAAACGGCTTGGGCCAACCTTCTCTTAGGGCAACCATACTTGGCTCCAGTCAGGCCGGCTGAAAATAGGTAGCACTGGCTGCCCACTTCTGTGAGCTTTCGGGAGCCCCGTTCCCCCCCCCCCCCCCCGCAAGTTAAAATTATGTCACTGGGAAGGCCTTATGCTCTCTCTGGTTTGGCAACGGCAAATCTGAAACTGAGAGCGTTGGATCGTCATTGCTTCCTAGACAACTAGCAACGCAATGTGACGCTTTGCAGGTCCGGTTCTGAATCTTGGCCAGAAGCATAAACCAACCTGAACCACTAGCAAGTTGCCTCGGCCCACCATTGGTTGGTGGTTGGGCTTATGCGGATAGAGCTCGCAGGTTATTCTCGTTTGCCTTTCATGGTAGCAGTGACAAACATGAACTGTGTCGCATGTTCTTCTCGTTTTTTGCGATTCGACGAGCGGCGCTTGTTCAGCCCTACTTCGTTGCTGTCTGCGTTTTGAAGTGGAGCCTGTGTACAAACCATCCAGCCTGATCTGGCCTTGTAAGCATCATGTTGGCTGCTTGAGGGTTGAGCGTTGACTATGTAAACACCCAAGAATTCACGTTGAGGTCTGCTGCATTGAAGTCTTGAAGGATTTCATAGGCGCATTCTTGTAAAATCGGATAGGGCCACCTTTTGTACGCAGGGAGTTCCATGTAAAGTGAGAAAGTAGGAATGGTTGGGAATGAACCACTTTGACCACTCCATTTTGCACGTGAACTTGACGCTAATGTGGTTTACCGTGGTTTGCGGTAGGTTTACCACACACTGATTAGCAAAAGCGCCGATCGTTTGGGAGATGTCCGGTGACATCTGAACATATCTGAACAAAGGCCGATCGACAAAGCTCATGGTCTTGGCTCCAGCGTGCAAGTTCCATGGTTTGTTTTTGGGAGGGCAAGTTCTCCCCTTCTCCCGGTCCCCTTCAGATAGATGCGCATTTCAATCATCGGATTTTTTGGGGAAGGCTCACATCTGAAGCCTTCCTCGAACCAGCCGGCGTTCAATCGATCCGAGGAGAAGTCTGGCGAGTGGCGGTTTGCTTGGGACTTTCTGCACCTCGCAGAAGACAAGTCTGCACAGGCCAATGCTGCTTGGATCCAAAAATCGAGCGAAAGTCAAGGAATTTTCCTTGACCAAACCCAGGACGTGGGTAAACTCGCGGAAGGAAACCAATGCGGGGGTCTCCCATTTGGAAAAAACAAAACCGAACCCAACGGAGAAGCCTTTGGTTTTACATGGTCTAGGTCCCCCAGCTAGGTGCCCTTTCTCTCACCTTTTTTGGAGGGAGGGTTCCCCTACTAAAACAGACTGCAGAAAAAAGGGTACCCTTATTCTAACCTCTCTACCCCTTCTGTTGTTCCAAATTCTGAATTGTTCTATCTAATGTCGACCCGGATTAACCCACCTGTTGCATTATTAGAGGCGTGTTTCCCCCAACAGCGATCCGGATTCCCTCTTACAAGGGCCTCCCCCCCAGTCAAAATCAAGCATTGGCTTATCAATCCTGGGCTCTCATTTGTGCCCTACGGGTTATGACCGCCCCTCACTCCCTAAGTTCCCGGACTTGATACTTTTTGGGAAGACCAGTTGAATGGTAAATCACAAGTTCATAACTTGTTTGGCCACTCTCAGGAAGGGAGGCCCTTAAAAGTCATTTGGACCAAAACAGTTGGGATCCTTCAGGGAAAGAGAGGATGGTCTGATAGATGTACAACACCTATCACTGATCTGTAGTCTCAGTCGTAGGGGAGTCTATGGACCCTTGAGTGTGGTACAAGGGCCAAAATAGTTAGAATGGGGTTTTGCGGCACTTGAAAACGAACCTGTGTGATTATAAGACTCTATCCCCCAGTAGTGCACGTTTACCCCTTTTTGGGTGAGGGTTCCCCTACTAAAAATAGACGACAGAAAAACACCAAAAAGGTGCCCTTATTCCAACATATTGGAACCTCTCCACTGGAGGACCTAGTTGAAAACGAACCTGTGTGATTATAAGAGTACAGCTGTCAGTCTGTTGTTTGAAACTTATATAGATATATGTATGTATATACAGTTATATATATAAATACATATTTATATATATACATACACAGGCATATACATATATATGTATATATACATATTTGGCTTGGAAAGGGGTTCCCCCTTGCCACCAACAAACACCCCGAAAAAGCAGCCCTTGCCTGGGAAGAGCGGCTCCAGATGGTGCATCCCACACGGTTGTTTCAGAGGTTGGGCTTGCCGCCCTAGTTGGTGTCCTGTTGGTTTTCCTACCCCCAAATCAGAAAGTGGGCTGCTGGCTTTTTCCTGTTGTTGTTCCAGAAAAAAAGGAAACGCAGTGGCTTTCCTTAAACCAAAGCCCCAAAAACCGGAGGTGTCCTTTTGATGTTCCATTTATTTTGTTTATGTGTTTGTTTAATTTATGTATTGTGTTATTTATGTATTTATTGTGTTATTTGTTGTTCGCTTCTTTATATATGTAAGCAAGATACGAAAAACAAAAACAATGAAGAACATAACATATAAAACAAAAATAAAGTGTAAAAAAACAAAACGGCCCCGGGGCCTCAGGTCATCACCTACAGCTCCGCCCTCGCCGCCTGCCGGCCCGCTTGGCGCCGGGCGGCGCTGCTCGCGGCCACCTCGGAGGCGCGGATCCTCGGAGGAACCCGCGGGGTTTCAGAACGGAGGCAAAAACGGTGAGCCACGTGCTGAAAACCGAATTCGGGTAGATGACGGGGGTGACGGGAGCCAAGTTGGGAGGTTCAGAAGGTCAGAAGGTGACGACGGGAGGTGAAGAAAGGGAACCCCAGATGGGCCACGCGCTCAAAACCGAGTCGGGTAGATGACGGTTAGTAAAGGGGCAGTCCCAGCCGGAAATAGCTGCGGATATCCGCCTTCTTTGTTCTTTTCATGGTTCTGGGTTCATCATTTTTGTACCAGGTCTTGAGTGTGATTCAGGTGACTTCCATTTGCGGAAAGATCGGTGGTGCTTTTCTCCAAAAAATACAACAATGATGGTGACTTCCATCTGATGAGTTTGGTGTTTTTTTTTGGTGTTGAAGAAACCAAATTCAAATTGGGGTCGCCAAATCCAAATCCACCGACCCAATTCCACTTCCATTTGCGGACATGTTGGTCTTTTTTGTCCCAAAACCTACAACAATTGTTGTCTCTTTTTTTCAAAAAGAAGAACACACGCATAGATGTTCCCCTTTTTGGCTTTAAAGGGAATCTATCGGGGACTCAAGCAGATGGAAAATGGAGCACTCCTGGCCCTGTTGCGGCTTTCATTTGTTGCACCAACAGCTTTTGTCGAACGCTTGGAATATTTTGCACTTGGGTCTTCTCCGGTGCCACATACTGTGGATGGCTTTTCCTTTCTGGCCCCAGGCAAAGCCCAAGACTGTTGCTCCGATTCCGGGGACCCATGAGATCCGGCCGTTGTGTTCCTCAATGGAACCGAGTTCGCCTCTGAAATGTTTTTGACTTTGTCAACATGGGACGAGGCGAAGGAAAGGATTGGTTGCCCTGGTTGGGTAGAATCCAGTGGTACCAGGTGTGAGTATTGCTCAAGTGGGCAGCTTTCTACTCAAGCTGCAAATGGGTTGTGCCAAGAAAGAGACACTCAGTTGCCCAAAGCCGACCTTTTGACCTTTTGGTTTTCCAGTTTTGGTCCATTTTTAGTCATGGCCCCAAAAGGTGATCACCTTTTATTTCTGGGTCCTTTGGGCAAGTGAGGACATGATTTTGAGTAGCAGGTTCTACCCGGCTTCATTGGGCTGAATACCTTGTGGCCTATATGGCCATGGGTCAAAATCCAAATCGTACCCCCAGCGAACATCCCAATCCCCACTATAGACCAAAATGGGTGGTGCACCTACCCCAAAATGGGATCCCATTGGCTTTGACCCACAGCCATAAAACCTTGGTAACCACGTTGGTAGAACACACAGTCAATCTGGGTGAAGCGCTGCACAAGTGAGCAGTTCTAAACATTGGTAACAACTAATGCATTGATTTGCGGTATTGATTCCATGGGTAGCCTGCTATTGTTTTCTCGGTGTTTTTTTCTTCTGGGCTTTGCCTTTTCCATTTTCCAGCTTGGGTCTTATGTGGAGTTTGCCAATGCAAGGGCGCGTGTTTTTTCCCCTCCACAAAAACAAACTTTGTTTTCCGAGCCTTTTCCGAGTTTAGTCTTCAACATGCCAACATGGGTGTTTGATATTTGGTTGTCAAGGGAGCCCATCGAGAAAACCAAAAACTCACGGGTCCCTGACACAAGCCAATTGGGTCAAAGCATCGAGGACTCCTTTTTTGGATGCAGAAGACCACCCAGTACAACCTGGGTCCCTTAAAGCGAGCATTTCGGAAAGGTCCGGCGGTTTCCCTTTAAGCCCGCATGTGAAAACGAAACCAGCATGTAGAGAAGATACTGAGAGTGTCTCACCACTTCTGGACCCGGATGTTGCAGACCTCCTTTTTTTTGAACGCCCCAACAAACCCTGCGCGAGGTGCAAGGCAATGTGTTCACTTTGGGCGCAACGGTGCGAGCCTATGAGAAGGCGGACAAGTGGAAGCAGGCGCGCAGGCGGTGTTCCGCAGCGTGTTGGGAACGGGATGAAGCCTAGGTCCAGCAATTGGTGCCCTTCTCTACCGTTTCTTTTTTGGTTGGGAGATTCGGTTCCCCTACTCAAATAGACTACAGAAAAAAGGTACCCTTATTCTAACCTCTATACTGGAAGACCTAGAAGCAGAACCCGCGAATTCTGCACCCGGCACGTCTGAGTCAAGAAGAGTCTTTCGTAACCCGCAACATTTGTTGCCTGTAACACACCAGTTGAATACTCCCCAGATAGAAGCACTGCACCCGAAAATCGCGGAATCTCAAATGTTCTGGATCCCCTTTTCCTGGGGGGAATGTCCAGCTTCTTCCCAGAGTGATGCCCTTGATATTCCTTTGAAGGGGTGTTCCCGTTATCAACCAAGTACGGTGCCCTAGGGGGTATTGCAAAGGATCCAGGAAACCTGGATAGTTTGACTATTGGCAAGAAGACCCGCATGCAACTAGGGATCGCTCTCCCACAATCAGAATCTGGAAGTTGGGAAGTTGGGGGACAGTCCCTACAATTCATCTGCAAGGCGCAGCAAAAACACATATCGTTCGGATTCTTTGCATGGGTGTATAGAAATTCCCAAATCGAACCTTGGGAAATTGAAGCAAGGCCTTGCTACAGAGGCTTAGCACATGCGCACCTTTCCCAGCGTCGTCTTGGTTTTGAAACTTTTAAGGGATGTTCCTGTATTGAACCCACATGGTAAAAAAAAAAAAACGTGTTGCAGGGTCAACAGCAACCAAGCGTATGTCATCCCACGGATTTTGCATGGATACCTTCAGCCAGTGCCTTTCAAAGGGATCTGTTTTTAGGTCTCTGTTTCAACTGTGCTAACAGGGTGAACCATGCTTTTGGGGAACACCCACCAAAGTTACAACCTATGACATATGTAGTGGACCCTTTTGAGGGGTCAACAGCAAAGAAGCATGTCAGCCACCAAGGCTCATTTTCTTCAAAGGCAGGGTTACATGTTCAATTCCGAGGGTACCCCTTTTGGTAATCCAAGGGGTATCTCGCAGCAGTTGAAAAATGAACTGTACCTTTTGGAGCCGAAGGATCCGAGCTTGTTGGTAAAACTTTGCCCTTGGCAACTCACCTGTGCTTGCTCAAAACCGATTCGGGGATTGATGATCCGGTTAAGGGCCAATCCCCTTGCCATAGCTGGGGAGATCCGCCTTAATTCTTGAAGCATGGTTCTGGGGTCACCATAGTACCGGGTTTTGATTGTGGCTCACCTAACCTTGGCCTTCCGAATTCGAGGCACTCTCTCACTCGCAAGCCTCAGCGGCAGTGATCAACTCCCAGATCTCCGCGTGCGAGCGCTGCTTCTTGTGGCGCCAGGCGGGGGTTACGGTACCGACTCAGTGGGACTGGAGGTTTGGGTGCGCCTTTCTTTTTTTGGGGACACCCCCAGAATGTGTTTTTGCTTTTGGTTTCCCTTGGTAATTAGACCCTCAGCCAGTCCGGGCAAATCGAGCCGCGACACTCACACGGAGGGGGACCGATGCTGGGCAAATCGAGCCGCAGCGACACGCGAATGACACTCACGCAGGGGGGACCGACACTAGCGTATAAGTGACCTCGATTCGCACCCCCACTGTCACTCAAATGACACGCTTTGACACTCAGAACGCCACGGCCCCAATCAAATGTGGCAGTTGTCACACTTCGACACGGGTAGCTGATCGATTTCAGCAGGATCCCAACCCCTATCAAGCCAAAAAGGGCAAGTAGCAACGAATCAAAGGGTCACTTACCACCGACACGGCCTTACGTGCCCTCGATTCCAAAACATGTCAAGTGCCATTCATTAAAGGGCACTTAGCAATATGCTGGCTTCTTTAACTTGTTTTTAATCCTTTGCTTTTTCAAAGCGGAACCTCCCAGTTAAGCCACTAGCAAGTGATATACTTCCATTTGCTGAAAATAATATTCTTATTTTCCCTTGTTGGCGTTAAAAGGAATTTATCAAACTACTGGACATAGTTGTTCATCTCTTTTTACGGGGGTCGAAAAACCAAATGGAAGTGTAGTGGCTTTCTTTTGAGCACTGGTCTATACCTACCAAGATTTGCAGCGCAGGGGGCCCACAGGCACTCGCCAGGGATGGGTAGCGCTAGACCCGACTTCGTAGATCTGATGGTCTGATGGACTTAGAACTTTGGGGGAAGTCCCAGTCAGAATTGAACATGCTTCACAAGCTTAACCAGGCCCTGTGCCAAACGAGTAGGTCTCTAGCAGGTTTCAAGGATGCTCTTGTGGCGGGAAGATCATCAACACCTGCTTTTGGGAAGCTCGGATGGGTATTTCCAATAAGTGGACAAGTTTTTGGCACTCGTGGCTGGAGTTAAAAAAAGCCTCCTTGAGGAGTCGTGAGCTCCTATTCCCATTTGCTGATTAATATATATATATATATATATAGATTATATTTATTTTTGTCCCCCTGGTTCAACCCGTGGATACTGGTATTAACTGTTTATGCTGTCATCTTTGGGGCACCGCAAGAAACGGCGGCGCTTCAGAGGGTTCCCTATGCTCCCGGGCCAGCTCAAGGAGTTGATGTGAGAAAGACCGGGAGCCCAGGATGCTGGAATAATGTATGGTGTGTGTGTGCTGTGCGTTGCTTGTGATGTGTGGTATGTATGGGTGGTGTCTTCTCCAGAAATTGTGTGGTAAACATCTTACCCTCCCACCCTTGTCACATGGACCCCGACTTTTTCGGGGGGTCCTGGTTTGGAGCGTGTTCCTTTTTAAGGGACCGGGTCCCGACCGTCAGGATCCAATTGGTGGGAGTGGTAAGGAAGGCGAAAAATGGACCGTCTCCATGGCCGAAGGCCCGCGTCTCTTTGGCGCAACGGTGCCAGGCGATGGCGTTGTGCGGCCAACTCCCACGGAGGCGCTGCGACGGCGCCGTGTTTTTGTTTTTTGTTTCCCCGTTCGTGGCCATGACGAACGCGGGCACCCTGCTGTGATGGCTAGGTTTTGTTGTTTTGTTGTTGTTGTTTTCCTGTTTCTTTTGAATAAAACAAATATGATTTTGCTGAACAAGATGCCGACCTCAATCAATCAGGTACTCTTTCACTAGTGGTTGACATTGGTGGGGACTGGGGATTTGAACCCATGGCTCTCAAAAGGTGGAAAATGGGAACCACCCCCCCAACCAATCTCCAAACCACCTATGCAACCCGCCAACTCTCGGAGGTCGATTCAAAAGAAAGGAACCGCAATCAGTGGCCATTGTGTTCCAGATTGGTACATTTCCAGATGGTGCAGGGCTCATGCGAGATCATCACTCTGCTCAAAGGAATTCTCAAGAAGTGGTTTTCTGGTTTCCCTTGAAAGCAGCCCCAAACCGGGTACCCAGCCTCAAAGAAAAGCACAAAACCCTTCTAGTGAGCACAAAGTTCAATTGAATGGATTTCACGTCACGTTGCCATCTACTTGATCTACTTTCACCCAACAAAGACACCTCCCTACAGACAAATGGGAACTGCCTGGAGCAGCCTCTCTTATACGAGCATTGTCCACTGGAGATTATGATCACACTGAACTTTGGCGGATTGAGATTGAGATTGGTTTGGGGTCCCCTGATATCCAAAAGTGTTGATCAACATATGATTGAATTGTAGATTGATTCGGATCAAGCAACCATGTCAGAGATACAACCACATTGTATGAGACACCAACATACATGGCACTGCGTCATATCATCACTCATCAAAGGTTGTCCTTGCAGGCTAGTTTGGCTGAACATAGATGGGGGTCCCGGGTTTTACTTCGGTTCCGCCATCTCTCTAGAAGGACGTCTGGGCTCGACTGGGTTTGGGTTCATTGTATGAGGCCCCCTCATTGTTCGCGTACTGCACACCGTTAGAATATGGGAGCCAAATATCCTGTGAGGCTTATTTTGCCCAAAAGGAGACTAACAGTGGATGATAATGTTATCATTTTTGCCAGACCCCCGTTTACAGCACCCAGTAACATCACTATTTGTTCGAATCTTTAAGCTGTAACTTTTGGGGACTGTGTGCGTGTGCGTTTCCCCACCAACCAGCAACAGGTAAACTCGTCTCAGACCAGCAAGCAGTGTTTAATTACTTTTTGTGGCGGCAATAGCTGCATCGCAACATGCGCAGGGGCAATAGCTAAGCTAGCATCCTTCCAACCAACATGGAAGCTAACAGGAGACTTTTGGAAGACCACTTTCCTTTTGGGGGGACCCCCTTGTTGGAAAGAGGTTATACGTTTTGAACCGGGACGAGCTCAAGAGTGAAGCTTTGTGCGTTCTCAGTGAGCCGCTCCAAGCCAAAGGGTTGGTATTTACAGGGAAACCAACTTCTAGGTCCCCCAGCTAGGTGCCCTTCTCTCCATTAAAATAGACGACAGACAAAAGCAAGTTGGTACCCGTATTCGATCCTCTCAAATCTGGAGGACCTAGCAACGCAATAACACATTGCCATGTTGGGGAACCTGCCCCCCGAAGACACGCCGTCACGCGGCCGGCCTCCAGTGGACCTTCGCCGATTCGCCAGATCCCTGGAGCCCAACGTCATCACCTGCTCCGCCGCCGTCAGCGCCTGCGAGAAAGCGCTCCACTGGCGAGAAGCGCTGCACCTCGTTGGCTTCACCCAAGGAGCGCGGGTCAAGCGATGGCATTCCTTTGACCCCAAAGTCAAGCTAAGAAAACCTCCGAAAAAGGGTGGTGCTGGTCACTTGCTTTTTGCGATTTGTGTGTGTGTGTGTGCAACTTGCATAGGTGTTCTTTTTTGATCAGTTTGACTGGTTTGGATTGGTTTTATTTACCACGGAAACCCATCCGTTTTGCCAGAAGGACAACTATGGACGCTTGGTTTGAACATCGCATTTTGGAGGTTTACAGGCTTGCACCAAGGGATGACAGACCCTTAGCAATTCAAATGCTGAGCCAATTTTAAGTTGACAGTCCCCTGCTGGTTTAAATTTGACCCATACCCAGGTGACTTTCCTTGGATGATGTGGGAAAAAAAGGGAGGAAGTCATGGGAAACCCGCCTGGCGAAGGTGGCGCGAACGTGGTCACGTACAGCGCGGCCATCGCGGGCTGCGAGGAGGTGGACAGCAGGCGGAAAGACACCTGCGAAAAGTAGGGCTTCCATTCCAGAAAACGGTTTGGATGTGTTTGTTGTTGATTTTTCCGATTTTTCTTATCCCGTTTTTTCCGATTTTTCCGTGTTGTTTTTTTTCCGATTTGTCTTGTCCCTGTTGGCCCTTTTGTTTTAAGTAATCTTTTAGTACTCTTTGAATGTCCTGCAGGGGTGGATACAACAGCAACTTTTGCAAACCACTCAATGTTGACCCCGGAACAATAAACCCGTGCTATTGATAGGGCGGGAACTCGATCAAAATCAACCGGGGGTTCATCAATCCAGGGTCAACATTACAGAGGATATATCAGGTGGCCATTGATGCAAAGCTCTATTGCTTTTGGAGGGAGGTGTCCTCAATCAACCACAAGCGTGTCATTTGTTTCCATTGTGGAGGTCCGGGAACATGTTTACCGTGTGTGTGTGTGTGGATGTTTCTTGAAGCTACCCTTTTCCCCTTGGTTTAAAGGCACGCCAAATGACAACCCAAACTCCATGTTGGGGGCCCCCTGTTTTGACACAAGCCAAAATGTACTGCGCTAGGAAATGAAAACAAAAGCCCAAAAGTTGTTCGGTCATTGGTTTCCAAAGCCTCCAAACATGCAGGCAGACGCTCCTGCTGCTTCACGACATGGAACGTGTGGCTTGGAATAGGGAAAGGATGGGCGGGTCTTCGGCTCGGCCCACGTGCATGCATGTGTGTGTGTGTGTGCTCTTAGTCCTTGCTTGTTTTGGGAATACCCCCACGGAGCATTTTCTGCAAGACTCCAGAAAAAACACCACTTGGGCCAATGATCGGGACCTCATGCAGTCATGCAGGTTTTAGGTTCCTTCGAATGCAGGTGTTAGGTTCCTCTGATGGGACGCCCTTGTTTTTTCTTTGGGTGAACTTGGCTTGATTCGCTCCACATGCCCGGGGCCATCCTAAGGCATTCAGTCCCGTTGATCGAGAATAGGCTGGTGGGCATAGATCCGTGTTCAAATCATGTCACCCAAAGGTCCAAATGGCTGTGGGTCAAAGCCAATGGGGTAGGTGCACCACCCATTTTAGGCTTAATTTTAGTGGGGATTGGGATGTTCACTGGGATTTTGACCCATGGCCAAATAATGAATACTCATACCTACATTCCTGAAGCACGATGCTCAGCTTCGTGTTCCTGGCAGGACTTCCCTTGCTAGCCCCGAACAAGAGCCCCACATTCGAAAAACGACATATGGCGGTTGTCGACATGGTGGACCCCTTAAATGGACCCCCGAAGGCGGCACGGCACTTGACCACCAGATTTCCATGACTTGTACTCTGATCTGGATCCCTTTCATTAGCCTTTGATACGCTACGCGAACTTTGGTGAGGGGGGCATTTTTATCTTGAGCAGAGTAGCCTCAAAGAAAGGGGCCGACGCGAGAGCAACGAGAGCAACGAGCAACATTACTGCTTGGTGTCGGCTATCCATCGGTTTGATCTCACACCCCAATTGGTGTCTTGGACAATCCGGCTCTGAACCATGGAGGGGTTGGCCTATCGACCCTCAAAATAAAATTGTAGGGCCCCCCCCTATTCAAGATGTACAACGCATTTTCCCTAGAAATATGTTCAGCCAGAAAATAAAGTAGCCCGACTTTCAGAGGCGTCTGCGGTACACAAAAACGGGAGTCTCCTAGAAATGTTCAATGACAAGGAGCGTGATCAAGGCCTGGGACGTTCTTTCTTGCCAACTTTGTTTGAGAAGGCTTTCCTTCAATAAAAGTGTAGAGAACGCAAGCAGTGGCATTTGTTTCTGTCCGCAGGAGGTTTGGGCTTTTGCTCACGGTTTTGCAGAGGGCACATTGTTAAGTTGTCAAGTTAGCTAAAGCGTTCATGTTGGTTGGTTTGGGTGCTAGAGGCCACACAATTCTTTAGTTATCTACAAGAAAACAAGGGTGTGGCTCAAAATTAAAGAGAGTCAGGGTTACGCAGGTTTTAGTCTTTGTTTCCATGTACCAAGGGTCCATTTTCGGTACCATTTGTTGAGCCACAGCCACAAAGGGGATTGATCATTTTCGTATTTAAAGACCCCACTTTAGAGCCTGGACCATCGGGGACGCGGGACTCAGGTGATTACGGCTGTCCTGCGGCCGGACTAATGCGCCAGCTTGAGGCTGATGTGGGCGTGCCAAGCTTCTCGCTTCCGCAGGCGTGTGTACTGGCTGGACTTGTAGGCTTCTGGGTGTCACAGCTCTTGGACTTGCTGGGATCCGTTCATTTTTGAGGTGCTTGCCGAAAGGCTGCTTTCTTTCTACCCGCATATGTGTAAATAACTAAATAAGTATATATATGTACATATATATATATATATATATGTACATATACATATGTACACCACATCAGCCATAATATACACATACATATATATATATATAGATAAATACTACATGTATACATATACACCTATATGATACAAATATACAACTCCACAAATATATATATATATATATACATACGTACAAGTACATATGTATAATTTATATATACACCAACACAACTCCATATGAATATATTTGTTCTCGGCCAGGTCGCGCACAAGATCTTCCCTCCACGCTTTTGAAGCCACGGAGTCGCCAACATCAGAGCTTCCGGAGCTTCCGGAGCTCTCTGAGGCTGCATCTGAGCCACTCGCCCAAAACCCGGAGGATGTGAAGGTGATATTTCAGGGGTGCCTTCCCCATTCTTTCCAGGGATCCTTCTTTTCAGGAAACCATCAAACACCCAGGGGAAACAGCCGGTTTTTGAAAAAAAACGATGGTTGAAAAGAAGGGGGAATCAGCCCCTAGAGATATCCAAGCCATCGATTAGGTTGTAACAACAACCGCTTAGTTGGTTGATATCCAAGACAACTCACAAAACCAAAGAGGGGAAACCGGGTAATGTTGACCCCATAGGAGTTTCAACCGTAGCAATAGGGTGTCCTTGGGTGAAATGTGGGGAGTCAGACCACTTTTGCGGAACACCCTGATTAATATGGGGTCAACATTAATCCCATTGGGAAGAGCCCCAGGCAAGGCTGTTTTGAAAATCGACATGTGCCACTTGCTCACAACCCAGGTATATGAAGATTGGTGAGGGATAGTCCCAGCCATAAATAGCTGCAGCCGCGCTTACATGGCTTTGGGTAGGCCGTTTTTTTTATAGAGGGTTGTGAGTATGACTCACGAGTGTTCTTAAAAGGGGGATCCATTTTACCCTGTTGGACTAGGGAATCTATCACTGGATTTGTGAAATGTATTTTCGGGACGCCACAAATGGAAGTCATGCAGGAACCAGCCCAGAGGCTGGTGATGCTGCGGATGTTGCCTGCGGAAAACCGGCCCTAGGAAAAACCAGCCCCAGGCAAAAACAGCACCTCTACCCTCCCAGGGCGTTTGGACCCGAATAATACTCATCTATGTTGGTGTCTCTTTTTGTGGTTGGAACCCTCTTTTGGTTTCAAAGGGAAGCCAAATGGAAAACCGAAATCCACTTAGGAGGGTCCTAAAGAAAGCCACATGTGAACTTTAATCATCCGCCCCATCAGAAGTCCGTCCCTTTTAATTTGGGGTTAACTGAAACTCGTGGCCCTCGAGCCTTGGATTGTAATTTGGAAGATGACATAGAAATAAGAACCGACCGAGGAGAGTATATTTTGAACGTTAATACTGCTTGTCAACAGCTTGGATTATCTTCTATATCTAAGGAAAGCACCTATGGGTCAAAATTAAACCGGTGTTAGTCCTTGTTTCTCATTTTGGGTGCCTATGTTTGACAAAGCTTCTTGCAGGGTCTCATGAAATCGGGGATAGACTTGGGTGACCGGAAGCCGGCCGATGGCTACCAGGAACTCCTTTGGAAAGCCCAATCCCAATGGCTACCAGGAATCGCTTGAGACCCACAATCAAGAGTTCAAGCTTAGGTGATGATATGACCTGATTCCATTTCCTTGGTTTTGCAGGTAACCAAAAACTTGCCACCCCTTAACAACCAAGAGGACAACTGCTGGTCTCCCACTATAATCGTAACTGGGATCCACTAAGATCCATTCGTTCGATTATGTCCCCTGGGTTTTGGGCTCCAAAACCCGGCGCTTCCCATCATGAGTCTCTCATGTTGCAGCTTGCCAAACCCTGAAAAACGTGGCCAGGCAACCCAGTTCCTAAGTGTCCACTACTTGTTTTGGGGGACGGGGGTCCCTTTTTTTGGCCAGGGATGCGTGTTTTTGTTTGGTGTGTGTGAAAAGGCGGGGGGGCAATTGTGGTTGCTCTGTTTCAACCAAAGCTGATGAATCATGACTTAGGAAACAACCATGTCTGCAGGATCTGACATGTGGTTGATTTAAGCATGAAATCCAGCAGCTTGCCTTGGTCAATTTAAGGACATAGTTGCTCGTAACAGATACTCAACACTAGTGGAAACACATAGTTTCCCCAACCTCTTGCTCTGGTTGCGCTTTGGTTGGATATGAGACGACCAATGAAGAGAAACTAGCACGACGAGACCATTTTTCGAACACACACACACACACACGCATCACCAACAGTTGATTCAGGCATGTTCTCTTTGCTTCAATTCCAGGCAATCGAACTTTCTGATCGATGTGATGAAGAACTACCTGAGAGCTACCTCGATCTCGTCTCCGGGATGCAATGGCAACGGCTTTTGCTTTTCTGACATGCTTGAAGATCAGCCCTTGTTCATGACTGGCCAATGTCAGAGTTGCTATGGGCATGTTTGATATCGAACCATTGACAGTCCATGGAGCAGAGTCTTCAACTTCTATCGTCCACTCACAGAGTAGCTTTGGTCCAGTTTCGTATTTGATGAACTCATTACCTGTTTCCAGGTGCTATTGGTGGACGCGGAGGTTTCTTTGATCGGGACGGACCCTGGCGGTTTCACAAAACTATCGATCGGTATTCGAATGGTCGTCAGTCCGCTCGATGTATCAACAATGTGTTGCATGCATGAAATATAATTGCATATTAACAACTGCGAAATCGTATGAACAAATCAGGAACAAATAAAAATGGGGCATAATGGAACATATAATTATTATTGTTAATAATATGTATTTATTAAAAAAATAAATAAACAATACATTAATATGTATTAAAATTTTAATTGTATAAAATATATTATATATTTATATTACAAATATTATATATAATAAATAATATATTAATTATAATTAAGAATTATATATTAAATAATATTATAAATTTAAATTTACATATAAATAAAATATATAATTTATATAAAATATAAAATTTTATAAATATAATTGATACATATAATTATATTATGTTATAAATTGAGGATCGCATTGTATGAATATTATGAAATTAAAATATTTGATTGAATTATTATATATATTGTTTTTTTTTGTATTGTTTAGATTTTTTTTTATTGAATTTGATTTTTAGTTCAAATTTTTATATGTTGTTGAAATTTGGATATTTGTCTTTTTATTTATTTTGTATGTTTTTTTTATATACTTTTATTAATTCTTATGTTTTATTTATTGAATTTTTGTTATATGGATTTTTTTTGTATATATTTTTGTTTTATATTTATATTTAATATATATTTTTATTTTTTTTATATATTATTATTTATATATATATTTTCTATTTATTTATCTTTCTTTTGTTATATCTCTGTTTATTTTTGTTTTTTTTTGTCTCTGACTTTCTTTGTTTCTTTCTCTTTGTTTGTTATTGCTTACTTCTACTTTACTTACCTCTATATATGGTTTTTGCTATTATTTTTGATTATCTATAATTATTTCCTTTGTATATCTGTGTATCTCTGTTTACTTCTGCATATCTCTGCCTACTTCTATTTGCCTTTGTCTATAATTACCTATCAATATCGTTTGCTATTACCTGCCTTTATTGGCTTTTCTTAATTGCCTTTGATTGTTTGATTGTTTACCTATCCATCTATTTATCTGTCTATTTGATTGTTTGTCTCTAGTCTATTTGTATCGTTTTATTTATGTATTTTCATTGTTTCTATATTTTTAGGGAATTATGTCGATCGAATTCTATTTTTGTATATGGTTTCTAATATTTATCTATTTTGAATTATTTATTTTTATTGATTTATTAATTATAATTTATTTTTATAGAATCTTTTATAAATTATATTAGAATTTCTATTCAATTTGGTCCTAAGCAATAGCCATATTGATCGAATATATTTTATAAATATATATGATATTACCATGGTGTTTGGCCTTGATCGGTCGTGGCGTTGGCCCGATTTGAAGTAGGTATGTTTGGGGTTAATTTCTTAAATAATTTCAATTCTGTGTCGTCGTGTGACACATATCTCCCTTCTAAGGTCTGTTTTGTTCATGTCGATTTATGGATCGTTTTTGAGAAATAACGAATCTTTTTAATATATTTATAATTTAGAAATATATATATAGTATTATATTAAAAATTATTCGAATAAAAATATATATTTCATTATATGTTAATAAACCATGGAAATGATTATATATAATCTAATATAGTTTTTATAATATATATATATTAAATATATTTAATTATAAATAAATCTAAATCATATAATATATATATTTTGAGAATAACAAGAATTATTAAAAAATCATATAAGCATAATAAACAATAAATATTATACAAAATAATAATTATTAAAATATTAATTATATTTAAAACAAAATTTCGGAGGCCTTCCAAGCCGCGAGAAGAAGCAAGAATTTATGCCGCAAAAATACAATAAATAATCGAAAAAAAAATTAAAATATATTAACTTAATATAAACATTATAATAAATTAAATTTATAATCTCTAAATATGTAGATTGTAAATTATTTATATTTATAGTCTAATATCTTAAATAATAATATATATTAATTATATTCCTTTAAATATATATATAAACCACAAATAAAATTGTAACAATAAATATCTATATATAATCATTCCCAACCAATTATAAATAGCGAATTTATTTTCTATATTAATCTATAAATTAATTAAATAATTAAATTCAATTTATAAATATAATATCAATATTGAATATATTTAATTCAATTCATTTTTTAAAATACAGCAAGTCGGGAGGCTTTCCATGGGTCCTTCGGAGCCCTTCACAGGTCACTGACGGCTGGAAGTTCGAGAGCTACGCGGGGCAGCTCAGAGGAGTTTTCCTATCGACTTGGGAAAGAGATCGTAGGTGGGTTCGTCTCTTTTTGTTGATAATAAATTTTATTATTTATCTCAATTGGTTAATCATGATACTAAATAGAATAATGAATATATATTATATATATAAATATGAATATATATACACAAAATTATTCATTTCTTCTTTTTGCTACCATCAAATCCCGTGCATTCACAGATCGCACGCACATTCATGCATGCACACCTATACAAGCAAAGCCACCCCTATGTTACCCTTGACGACTTGCAATTGCCGAGCCAAATGAACATTGTTGCAAACAGGGGCAATTGCCGGAAGTCCTGGGTAAGGATTTGACCATCCTTCAATGGCAGTCAAAATCCCAAGCATGCAAGGCCATATCGAATGGGTTTGTTGCGTTCGACAGCGGTCCTGTACAACAAAATCCAAATGTATCCAGCTGGCTGGTTTTTTGGGGACGAGCAAACGAGTGGGATTTCATCATACAACAACGAGCAAACGAGCAAACTGGCAGATGTCCAATCACCAGCCAGCCAAATCTCCAGACTGCCACAGTAGCCCACTCACAAGGAGGGTACGTCGATTTTCAAGACCAAGCGATTCAGCACCACGTTGTTGGCATATTGCAGCGGCGGCGACTTGTGGACTAAGCCTCTGGCGCCTGGAAACTTCCTGCCCTTAATGAAGAGCAGATCCCCAACGCCGACCTGGCCAGTGCCAGCTTCATATTGAGTATTTCTTTGCTCGAAGGGACCCCCTACTTGTGGTGTTGAAGAAGGCAAGCAGGCACACCACCTTCTTCTTTTTGAGGCTACCCCTATTTTCATTTTGGGCGGTTTTGAAAACGGGAACCAACAAACGCCATCACGGTTTCTGAGGCTACCATTTGTTGATGGCTCTTTTGAACAGGGAAGAAAAGGGACCGCCACCAATTTTGGGGGCCAGATGCCTGAACCGCATCAAAAACCCAAGCTACGGTTCAACAACCCGTGCCTGGCGTACCTTGGAGGCATCGCGAATGATGTGGTCGTTGTTGCCTTGGACTCGGGCGCATAGGTGCCTTCCCACCAACATGAAAGTGCATAGGAACCATGTCCAGCAGTAAAGTCGTCGTCTAAAGGGGGTCTCTAGGTGACCTTTTGGACAAAATCGATAGTTTTCTCTGGTGAATGGGGCATACAAACAATCTAGACTACGTATTATTTCTAGGCAAAACTTGAAAAGGACACCTATGTTGCGGTGTTTGTCATCAACCAACCTGCACTCAAGTAGATGCTGTTGACTGGCCCCTTTTCTTGGGCACCGATTGGATGAAACATGGAACTTAAGCCAGCTGACAAAATTTGCTGGTGCTCAGTAGGGGACCATTCCGGGTGTTGGGAATGAAAAAGGGATTCCCTCAAAAGAAACCATGGATGTTTTATCTCAGGGTCATTCCCTTTCTCATTCCCTGCCCATCGAACCAGCTGACAAAAATGGGACAACAACATCACAATGTGCTTGGAATTTCACACGTTGAACAAACCCCCCAAGAGTACCAAGAATCAGATATCTCATGGCGGGAAGCAAATAAAGCACGAACCCTTTAACAGCTCTTGCACCAAACCGGCTTCTGGGCGACGTTCTTGGCTCCTTTAAAAAACAAACATGAACATGGAAACCAGCCTCGGTCCTCCAGTAGAGAGGCTAGACTAAGTTGGCACCCACTTTTCTTCTGTCCATTTTAGGGGAACCGAATCTCCCAACCGAAAAAAGAAACCGGAAGAGACTTCCGGGCACCAACTGCTGGGGCACCCCGAGCTCCCAGGACCTCCCGGGACCGCCCGGCAGTCCGCCTCCCCCTCCCCCCGAGAGCTGGAAGGCTTCAGCTTCAGCGGCCGCAGTGGTCCAGCTCCCAAAAGTCCACATTGTCCTCACCCCGGAAAAAACGCGGAGAAAAAAGCGGAAAAAAAGGGGAAAAAAAAGAGAGAGGCCCGCCTTCCCGGAAAAAATGGAGACAGCTCGGAAAGGTGGTCTTTGCTAATATGGCCAACACACATTTTTTTAGGGACACTTTTTGTAATAGGGCCCCGCCCTTTGAAAACAAAGAGGGGCTGGTCTTCTTGCCCCGCAGGCATAGCCAACGCGCCTCTGTTGCATAGTTCGTGCCGGCCAAGTTGTAGGAGACAATGGCACGTGCACAGTATTCATCTCGATGCCAGCGGGGGCACGAATGTTCGCCCATCAGCTCCAATTTCCTTGGCGAGCGAGCGCATCTGGTGGGTGAAACGCAACCCGTCCGCCATATGCGAAGCAAAACGGAACATCTTCCTAGGTACGGACACGTGACAAGACTAATAGTCACAACATAGACAAAGTCTGTGACGGTCAATCTTGCCCGACACCTGGAAAAGCCAGCAACGCTGTCCCGGCCACCCACGTAGCAATGAAACATCTACCCTGCTCATAGGGCGCTGCATTCTTCTGTTTCGCCCATACTAACACCGCCTCGTGAGGGTCCAACGATGATCTCCGAGCCTATGAATGCTCTGGAAATGAGTTATAATCAAAACCCGGCATGAAACTGGTCTACCCAGAACCATGCAAAGAATTAAGACGGCGGAATTCCGCAGCTACTTATGGTTGGGATTTTCCTTTACTAATCTTCATCTAATCGGGTTTTGCTTGTGGCTCAAATGGCACGCGCCAAGCTTCACGATGAAGGTCTTGCTCCATGGGCACAATGACGCCACCGTACGGCCAAGAGCGCAAATATCCGCTCTGATGACTGACATGAGGTCCTCGCCGGAAAAAAAAAGGTGAACCATAAACCATCATGACCGAATACCGGGCGATATATAAATGTGGAATGCTTACCCCTGGGTAGTAACCCCAGAAATCCATTTTCGGGCTGACCAGTTCAAAGCGTTACAGCGGATCTGGAGTGTTCTGATTTTTTTGAAGCCTTTGTCCTGCGGCAAGCTGACACCACGGCCAATCTCATTTGCCACTTGCCTAAGTTGCAGAGAAGTGAAAGAAAGACTCGCAAATGGCTATGGGTCAAAACCCAAATCGTACCCCCAGTGAACATCCCAATCCCCATTAAAATAGGTTCTAAAAAGGGTGGGGCTACCATTGGTGTTGACCCACGGCCAAATCAGTTGGCACGTCGCAAATCAAGGCTTGTGGACAAATTGGACTCTGGGAGAGCAAGATGATTTGGGCGTACAAATCAGACATGCAAACCTAGAAGATCGCAGCTGGCCGTGGTGTCCACAGACCTACCCCATGTGCGCCATGGTCGAAACTTCATTTGTTTGGCCTATGGTCATGGCTCCCGTAATAGGAATGATTATTCACGGTTAAGTATGGTGGGTGACCATTCCTGACCCCAAGGAAAGGACTCGGTCTGTTGACCGTGGCACATATGGCTGTATCTCTGTCGGGTGGCTGAAAATCTGCAACTCTGCCCTGCTGTGGAAAGATTCGCATCGCCACTTGACCCTCTGGGCCAAAGCTGTCGGCGGCACGGTCGATCTCCTCTTGATAATTCGGCCAATGAGGTCGCCGTGGCAAATGCAGACCTGGATGCCAATGGCCACATCTGTCGAAACACGAGCAACATGTTCCTAGACGCTCTTTGTGGTTGTGGGTGGCAAGAGCTGGTGCCACTGTCCGACAGCCCATTTGGCCATGGGTCAAAATTCCAAATCGTACCCCCAGTGAACATCCCAATCCCCACTAAAGTAGACTAAAATGGGTGGTGAATTCACCTACCAACCAACATGGGATCCCGTTTAACGGTTTTGACCCACAGCCATTTGGCTGTGGCTCAAAAAACCGGTACCAAAATAGAACCCTGGTAAGTGGAAACATGGACCAAAACCTGCGGTTTGCCCCTCCTGTTTAATTTTGACCCCACAGCCATTTCATTGAACGCCCGCCTTGAAACGCCGCGGCGTCCCGTCGCAGCCAATCGCCCAAGGAGCTTCCTGCAAAGAGTCCTGTGGCCAGCACAGGCCCCGGTGCTTGGTAGGGTCGCACCGCCCTGTAGCCATGACCTTAGGGGAGCAAAACAAAAACTCAAGTTTAGCAGTTCAGTGGGGATTCTCCACTAAACCACAATAAGGAAAACTGGGTATGGGTCAAAATGAAACCACCAGAATATGGACCGCAGGTTTTAGTCCTTGGTTCCATTTGACAGGGTTTCATTTTGGGGTTACCCTATTTTTGACCCATAGCCAAATGTGAAAATAATGTCTGCCAACAACAACCATGTGACTGGGTCGCACTGGAAACGCGCTCTGCATATTCTGCATCTGCAGCGCCATTCCGACCACAAGGGCTGAAAATCTGGAACCGAGTCTGGGCATAGAAAAGCTGGAAACGGCAGAACGGGTCACTTGTGCCAAGGAAGCGCTCTTTCCTCCATATAATACTTGAAAATGCCAATATAGATCAAACTAGTCGCACATCATGTCAAAATCTCTTGGAGTAGCTGTTCAAACAAAAGTTTGTAGATGTATGTACATATACACATACATAGCTAACGGTTTACATAATGTGTGATAATAATAATTAACATAAAGAAAAACAACATGAACTAACTAAACTAATATTTGTGTGGCTATATATAAATATCTGCCACACACATTGTATATGTTTATGTGCCAACCATGATATTGTTTTTACACAGATACTAATTATATTACTCATATTCTTAATTTAGACATGCAGTAATAAGTTAAACTCATATTCAATGCAACATGTATATATATATATATATGAATATCAATACAAAAAAAACCGTATTTGAACAATACTTAACCTTGCATAAGCAACAACAAACTGTATATGCTGATTGGCATATGTCTCGTCAATTACTACAAATCATAATTATATCTGTTGTTGTGGAAATTACCTGCCAGTTTCTTGAATCCGGCAACGAGCGTCCTGAGCAGGGGTCGAGGGCCAACCACGGAGTTGGGAATGCCCTGACCTGTTGGTCAATGTAAGGAGAGTCTGCCCAAATGGTGTAAAAAACTGCCCACGACCTGGTTCTTGATTTCTGCAAACATTAAACCACAATAAACAATCCGGGCTAAAATCTTTGACAGCCTTAAGATTGACGGGCGTGCACGTGTGTGAGTTCCAGCACCGGGATTTCCGATGAAAGACACAATTATTATTTGCTGTTGGGTCCAGTTCGGTGGCACACAATCCTACCTGTCCATTTGTTTCCCTTCTTCACATTTCCTTTCTGCGGTCATCCTTGCACTGCACCGACATAAGTGCGACTTTGCATACCCGAAGCGTCCAGCCGGAGTTGCACTTGCCCAAGCCAACATGATGGCACAGCTTCACAGCTTCAAAAAGTGGTGCTAGCGCGAACTGTTGGGTTTTGAAGATAGCAGCTCGAAGCCGCCGTCGATCATTATGGGGGGTTGCCAAACTACAGGGCCTTTTGGTAGCTCCAGACAAGACGGCCGCATTTGGACGCTTCCTTCAGAAGACAACAGGGCAAAGGCTCGTTTGCAAAAGGTTCAAGCAGAATTGGTTAAACCTTTTTGTTTGGGGGGGGGGGTTGAGCGCATTGTCTCTGTCCCAAACCAAAGAACAAGTTGGATATGGGTGTGGGTCTACACGCCAATGAACATACTGCTGGGATGGCGCTCTGTTCAATGGGCATTAAACGGCAGCACTTGTTCAATAGGTACTGAACCGAAGCTGCAATGACTGCAATAGTAAGTGAATGTGTATGGCTGTGAGTCAAAAAAATAGGCACCGAAAATGGAACCCTGGTACATATTGGAACCAAGGACTAAACCCTGCGGTCCATATTCTGGTGGTTTAATTTTGACCCACAGCCGTATCTCAAAACGCGCCAAGCTAGCGGTGGTGTCCACCATTGGGGGGTATTGAGCGGGTATTGAACACACACCCGTAGGTGAGCGCTGCACCCTAAGCCACTGAAAAATCGGTGTGGACCGCTGACGGTGTCTTCTCAACATTGCATCTGGTATGCATACTACTGATCTGTTTACATCGCCCGCGGAGCGGGCGGCGGTGTACAAATCTTGCTGGTGTTCCGCAGGGTCTACTGGCCTTGGGGGTTACACCAAAGGCCAGCCCAGCAGTTGAGAACAAAACTTGGCACCTCATCCGGTTTCGACTCCTCGCAAACTGTGGCCTTTCAGAACTGCCATGATTCCAGGGGTTGATTCCCTATTCTTTTCCATCATCCTTCTTTTCAAAAGCCTGCCGTTTTCCCTGGGTTTCTGGAGGTTTTCTGGAAAGAAGGATCCCTAAAAGAAATGGGGAAGATACCAATAGAATTATTTTACCGGTTTGCATGTGGCTTTAAAACACACCGAGAAGAAACAAAAAAAAAAAACGACCGCAGAGGCCCGGGCCCGTGCCAATTCCTCCAACTCCTGGTCCTCAGCAAGGCCACCTCGCGGAACGGATGGAGCGAGGTCCAACCGGAGCGAGGTCCCAGCGAACTCACCTTTCTAGGGGTTGATTCCCGCCTGAACTTGGGGTTGGTTCCGATTCCACTCTTTTCAGCCATGTTCTTTTCAAAAACCGAATCCATTTCCCCGGGGTTTTTGGTGGTTTTCTAGAAAGAGGGATCCCTGGAAAGAAGTGAAAGGGAAGTTCCCGAAATCACTTTCCCCCGTCACGCACAAACAACAAACACATTATGAAGGGGCAACCGTGATTGACCAACAAAAACACGCATTTATTCATATGCCCCGCAATATTTGAGAGTGACGAGATATTGCTCTCACAGTGAGCAGGTTGAGGTCTACACCCATGGGTTGCAATCCGGAAAGAGGATCGCCAGTTTCAACATAACTTACTTGAGATTGTCGTTTTTAGGTGACTGGTTTCAAAACCGCCCAACAAAGGGGGTACCCTGAAAAACAGACCCACCCAGTTTCAACGCTTTGGAGTATTTGTTTTATCGGCGAAGATTGGATTGATCATGGGGCATGAGCTCAGTTCCTGGCTGTGGTTTCTGCACTGCTGGCTTGAAGATCAGAACATGCGCTGCTTCGTTGAAACAACACATTTAGACATCTCCAGCAAGGCGGCAAACAGCACTAACCTGAAAGCATCTCCACCTATCGTTCTGTGAATGGTCATGGAATAAGTCCCGTAGTGCAAAGAACCGCCGTGGGGATCTGCAGATGCATTCCCATCAGAAGCGCATAGACCGCTCCGGCTCGGACCCACATTGACCATGGAACTGGGGAACCCGTTTTTAGTGAGATATTCCTTTTGGGGGGCCTTCGTGTTGAATTTACATGACAACATGAATGGGGATTGAGGTCCTGCAGGGTGAGGGAAGAACAAATCCTGGAAAGGTCGCTGAGCACATCAAGCAAAGGCTTGGTGATGCAACATACATCTTGCCCTATGCCCTTTTGTGCGAGAAGTACACCAGACTACACTCTGCAGCTGCATTTTTCCGTGCAAGCTGAACCCAGCACATGACTTTGCAAACCCCACGCAACTCCTCGTTGCCCACTTACAAGCATACGTACGTGATGTCCTCTAAGCCTTCGGTCATTGAAGCACTAGCTTCCGCAGAGGTTCAAGCATTGTACCACAGGGTTTGGACCATTTTAGCATCTTGAACGCCTCCAAACAAACAAAGGTTGCACAATGAAAAACACAGTCCTATATAATTCTAAGGGGCGTCTTTCCCGCCAAACGCAAGAAGAAGAGCCAGGTGTTTGGGGGCGCATATGGCATGAAGTCTATGAAACACCCCAATCGAACACGGGCTTTCGGGGCTTAGAGTTGAAGATAAGTCCTGGCGATACCATATTTTGGCGCTCACACAGTGCTTCCAGCTACCACTGCAGACAACGATTCTTTGAGCTCTGGGCTTTAACTGGGCCTGTGCGGGGTCCACCAAAAACATGTTTGCTTGGCTCTGGTCTAGGTGCTCCAGTAGAGAGGTTAGAGTGAGGGTACCCATTTTTCTTAGTCTGTTTTAGTAGGGGAACCCTCCCCCAAAAAAGAAACGGTAAAAGGGCACCTAGCTGGGGGAACTCGTGGTTCATATTGAGTCTACCTTAAACTATCAAACATGTTTGGAGAGGAGGGTCCAGGTTTCTCCGGCAACTCGAAGCACTGTTCTCATCTAGAAAACCAACTAACAACCACACTGCAGTTGGTAGGTGGACTTCTTCAACCAGTATTCATTTCGGGTCTGGGCTTCATCCATCTGCCTGGATTTGTCCACCTACAGTAGGCTATAGTCGAGCGGTGTGAAGCTTTGCGCGAAAAATCCGCGGCCAAAGCGCGCCTAGGGCAAACTTCAAGGACCGAGGAGTGCGGTTCACCGCCTGAGCCAAACCCAGGCTGGGCCGAGCTAAACTGAAAATGGAATTGGATAGTTCTCCCTAGGGTTCCAGCGATACAGCGCTTAAGGTGGTTTGCAGTTGGGGGAAGTAGATGGATCATGTTGGCGTAGTCATCCCCTTTACTCGCCCACTTGGAATTGTGCCATCTAGCTTTGCTCTGGCGTAGGCCATATGAGTTGTCCAAGTCATGCGGCACAGCTCAAGGCTCGTGCGCGAAGGAACACATGCAGCTGACCTAGGTAAAATATATTTTTACAAGCGACCACGTCCTGAACCCACTGTTGGCACTCTCCATCCCTCGTCTATCACCTCAGTCGATTCCTTGGGATGTACGCGCTCCCTATACCCAAAGTCATGACCGGATCGCCGAACGCCCGCCTGCCACACCACGTTGTGGTCACCACGCAGCTCCTGTCGCGCGCATCTTAATGTCCCCAGCGCAAACCACCCAAAAGCCACGTGAATCCATCATGGTACAAAGGTTGAAGGTTGGAAGGAACTGCCTAGTGGTATCATGGCGGTTGGTGGGTTGCATGCTTCCAGCCGAAAGCTATGGGTTCTCTTTCCAGAAATCGGCTTTCAGGGAGGGCTCAAAAGGAGGGGGGGTCCGGGCTGTTGGGGATACCACCTGGGCTTATTTGCCTACAAGGTAGACTTGAACCGGGTGCTTGCAGAAAGAAACCCACTGGCCAGTCTAGCCCAAGAAGTGGAACCCAAACAGTTGGTCTGCGTCAATGCGCTGAATTCCTTTTTGCTGGTTCGTTTATATGGGTGGCTTTGCTGGCCGAGCGCTGACTACTCACGCAGGTCCATGAGGCGAAAACAAGAAAGTAATTGGTGAAACACTGCTTTATCTTGGCATGTCTTGGTGGCATGACCATTTTTGTGTTTAAGTCAGCCTTTCTTTTTTAGTCTGCTTGTTCTCTCTTACCCGGCAAGCGCGAAAACAGACTACGCTCCTTTTGGTTGATTGATACGAAGAGACGAGTGGGTGGGGCAACGACCGCGAAACCTTGCATCTCTTGTCTCCTCTCGGTTCCCTTTAGGCACCGTCCAAAAGGGAGTCCTTATGGTGGCACCAGCACGCACCTCCCCAAACTCACTCAAAAGCAGAGCACCTCCCGCGCGAACCTTTCACAACTTGCCTGCTTGATTGATTGATCTAAGCTGTTAACCAAATTGAAAGCCGTCAATAGGCACCCCAAGACTTGTGGTGTCGACCGTACTTAACGACGGAGCACCTACAGGTTTCCTCAATTTGCTTAAGTCCCCTGGAACAAATAAACAATGGATTCCCTTGAAAACCAACAGGGGAAATACACAATATTCTTAACCAATGGAAGGTTTGTTGAATTCGCTCTGAGGTATCACCTCTGGGTAGCGTGTGGGTGTCAATCACAAGGTGTCCGGATCAGTTCCTATCCTCAGGCGAGCAGAGGACAATACTGTGGATGGACGAAATCCGTTCGCACCACCGAAGAAGCCCTGGAATGGTCTGATTCCCTTGCAAATACCAACAAACAATGGTTTCTCATGGTTTCTTAGGTGGTGCAGGACTTCGTCCATCCACAGTATCACTCACTTCTAACAGTTCACTTGGATAGTCCCCACTTTGTCGGGACAATGGCGGAAACAAAGTAGTCTAGTAGTCACCACATATGCCAGAATGAGCTGCCCCCGAAACCATTGACTTTTGGTTCTAATGGATATAGAGGTTTACATACCCCTGGCTGTAACCTCCACAAAGCCAGCTAGTAGATGGTCGATAGGTATCAGTTCTGGCAGCTGCTCAAATGAGTCAAACTTATAACCTGGTATCCACCTAAGTAAGGAATGCGACAGGCCGCAAACATAATTTCTGCCTGGATCTGTCGACTAACTTTCACTTATCCGAATCGTCTTTCATTGTGGCCCACATGGGTGTGTCTTTTTTGAGGGTACCCGCCTTCGCTTCTTCTTTTTTTAAAGGGAAGCCAAAAGGAACACGCACACACACACACACACCTTTTGGAGGGGTCCCCTGAACAAACACACGCCCAAATGCACCATGGACGTCCCCTTCTCCCTTCTCTCCTCAGAGGCAAACTCCAGAGCGCAGCCATGCTGCTTCACTGCCTGCGAGGTGAGCTCAGAGCAAAGGCGGGTGGACTTGGGTATGGAACCTCTACATTTGTTCCATACCAGGAGCAACCTCTTGATCCCATACCCGGAACAATGATCACACCGGCGGTTTCTTTTCTTATCTGTCCTGTAAAGAGCAAGCAAGCAACACGGGGTCAACAAATCCAAGGAAAACACATGCCCAGCACCTGAGAATTCGATGGGGTAGGAAACCAACATCTATCTCGACATGGGCGTACTCCTCTTTCCCCTCGGCTTTTTGTTCCTCCTTTTTTTATCAGACATGCGGTTCACTCTCTTTGTGCCGAATGAGAGCACATAACCTTTAACACACCATGTTGGTATTCGAAAAAGGGGGACCTACATAACAAGATGACCTTCTCGCAGGCAGGTTCCATCTGTGGTGGGTATTTCTCCGTAAAGTTCAAAAATCCGTCAAAACCCCAGGGTTCCTTGAAGGATACATCCAACAACGGCCGGCTTTGACATTGTTCAGCCTCTACCTCAGCTGGCGGTTCCGTTTTTAGTGGCCCTCTTGCTTCAAAAAATCAGATGCAACAGGTCTCCTTTCTCCGAAGGCCCTAGACTTTGTCACGCCCGCCAAACGCTAGGGTTAACTGGGTGTTTCCCAAAAGAGGAAAACAAACAAAAACAGTGGCTGATACTTCCCAAAATGAAAAAAACAGTGGATGATATTCACCGAGATTATTTATTCTAATACTACTTCCCATGTTGTCCCCTGAATCACTTGGATGGTGATGTTAACCCCGGATGAATAAACCCCTGGTTGATTAATAGGGGGGTGTCCCCTTTTAGTGGGGATTCAGACCACTTTTGGAGGGAACACCCCCCTAATGGGACGTGTTTATTAATCCTGGGTCAACTTTATTTGCCAGTTCCCGGATACGCTGAGGCTGCGGCTTGCATTACCAGCTCTCGATCCTGGAGGACCAAGTCAATGGGTTTCCTTTCGGCGTGTGGGGTTTGCGTTCAAACCTTGACGTTGGAAGTGGGTGGGTGGGGTGGGGTGGGTGGGTGGGTGGGGTGGGGGGAGCAAAAAAAATAATAAAAAAAAAGCAGTTAAGTGGATTTGGATTTCAACCTCTGAACCACAATAAGCTCAAAAATGGTTCAAATCTTTCCCAACAACTACCATGACACATTCCCAAAGACCGTCGATTTCCGCGCACGTAAGACGGTATTGGAGAGAATCCCCCGATCGTGGTTCACATGTGGACCTCCCCTCACAGATTTTGTTGGCCCAAGTGGAATTCTGAGCACCTGTAGCCTTAGTGCTCAGTCGTGTGCGCTGCGCTGGATACATATATGCACATATAGAACTTATGTAGTTCTATCGTATATGACATATATTATGTAGTGTCATGAAACATGTGCACAAGGAAAGTCAGTGTGTGTAAGCTTCTTGTTGTTTGTTCGATGGACGTGGCTTCTCTTAGCTCCAAGCTTCGGCTTGAGCCAAGTGACTGGCACCTTTTTCTGCCGACGGCTTGTTTTGGACACCAGTACCCTAACCCATAAAGAAGTGGCGTGTCTTTCTTGAGGATCTCCTTGCCACCTTTGTTTGAAGGGAAAACAAAGGTGGCACCAGCCATTGTTTTCTTCTTCTTTTTTTTGGGGGGGGGGCGCCTCATGCTAAGGTTTCCTTGCATAAGATCTCTGTCGCGAATCATACACAAGCTTCCGGCTTTCGCTCGATTTTGCACGCTGCAGTGTCCAGCCCAAGTCCGGATTGAACGCCCAGACTTGCTTGTGTGTTTGCTTGCTTGTTTGGTGGGTTGTTTGTTTCTTTGTGTTTTTTGTGTGCCTGTCCCAGCCCAGGTGCTTTGGGAAGTCAACCCACTGGATTCGGGCTCTTCGTCTCGTCGCCCTAAATGTCTTGAGCCTCTTGGAGCCTGAGCATCAACTGTCCGCCGTTCTGCCCGGGAACAAAAACGAAGCCTAAAACGAACGCACCTCGCTTTTGCCCGAGCCACAAATGGCCATGGGTCAAAATCCAAATCGTATCCCCAGGGAACATCCCAATCCCCACTGAAATAGACTAAAATGGGTTGCACCTACCCCAAAATGGGATCCCATTGGTTTTCACCCACAGCCAGGTAACTTCCCTCCGCCCCAACGTTCCCCGGTCGCTCCCCGCGGAGCCGCGGAGAGGCGAACTTCAACACCTGGCCGTCAAACCTGGCGGATGCCCAATCCGAACGAAGCGGATCTACCAAAAAAAAGTTTCGGTCAAACAATGCGGGGGGGGGGGGGAAAACATGACAGGCGAACTGTCTAAAAAGGGGAATTGTTTGTCTGGCAACGCGCGGCTTCACATTAAAAGCCGCGCAAAGGTGGGAAACAAACACCGGACCGGAGAGAGATCGACATGTGCAACTTGGAACCTGACCTCAAAACTCACAGAAAGGATCTGCTCGAAGACTTGAGCCACAGTGAATCTTCATGGTGCTACATGGAGTTGTCAATGAGTAACCCCGCCATGGCGAGTTGGCGAGAAATCCAATTTGTTTGGAGCCCCGGACATCTCCACAAACCATGGAAACCCTTCTTGACGGGTTTTCAGAGAAATCCAGCCCCAAACTCTTTCCAGTCTGACCAGGCGTGTGGGGAATGACCACTTCTGTGATGCAACAGAAAGGGCTTCCCAAAGACTATTTTGTTCATATAAAGGGGGATTCCCTTGTATCACAGAAGTGGGGAGAAACCCCTTGATCCCACAACCCTGAGTCTGACTGATTCTGCAGGCAACCCGCCGCCCAAAAAGTTGCAGATCTCTGGCTTTCTGGGAACCGTTTGCGTGCACGGCTGCAAAGTTCTTGTGGCTTGGTGCGGCCATGGTGCCCCTCCTCCCCCCGAGTTTTATGCTGGCCAGAACCCAGTAGACCTGTCCCCTGGTAGAAACACGCACAGGTCAGGTGGCACTGGTTGGATGACAAAGAGCCAATGCTTGACACTTCCCTAGCTGGAGCTTACGCTTCTTTCAAGGCATGATTCACCTCGGGTTGGTCTCGGTTGCGCAAAAGGGGAAACACAACCGGCAAATCAGGGAGGCTTCCGGCACTAGACTGGGCAGTCCACCCTGGGTGGGATCCAAAGAGGAAATTTGGGAACACCCGTTTGATGCTGGGTATTTCTTTCAGGTAGATCTCTAAGTCCCCCCCCCCCCCCGCCGCACCTTACCTTAGGCTGTCTTTCCTTGGATTGTTTCAAACGGAATCCCAAAAGCAAGCGCTTTGTTTTTTCTTTTCTTTTTTTTTTTTTGGGGGGGGGGGGTGGGGGGCACACCCAAATATCGATGCAAATATAGGCCAGCAAGTCCTCTAGAGAACAATCTCTACCAGCTGCTCAAATGGTCTGCCATGCTCCCGTGTGGAACGTGGCACCAGGCTTCATGCCAGAGATTACCCCGAGGAATTGTAGCCAGTGTTGTTGCGGCTCAGCATGCGGTTCGGGGTTTTAACCGAACCTTTGACTTTCATTTGGTTAAGACCCCTGGAAAAAAATCCAGTAGTGATAAATTCCTTTCAAAACCAACAAGGGAAAACAAACATATACTAGACTCTTAAGCAAATGGAAGTTTAGAGAATTGAGAGCCGAGCGAGCGAGATCGCGTCGTTGGGCCTGATTGCAGCGCGGACCACGTCTGCATCGTCTTGCAACTCCTCTCGCAGCCGCGATGCCACGAAGGACATATTAGGCCATGGGTCAAAATCCAAATCGTACCCCCGGTGAACATCACAATCCTCACTAAAATAGATCAAAATGGGTGATGCACCTACCCCAAAATGGTACCATTGGTTTTGACCCACAACCATCTTCGAAGCGCGGTTCCAAACAACCTTGAAACTTGACTCCGTGGCTCTGGCAAAGCGCAACTGAATCTTCAGATGCGGACATTTGGCGCGTGAAAGAACCACACTCTCTCTCTCTCTCTCTCTCTCTCTCTCTCTCTCTCTTTTGGGACATGCCTGCTGTGAGTCTAGGCAACTGGGCTGTCCAAACTGATCCCGTAAAACTTTATCTTGCGGGGTAATTTCGGAAACCCAACCACCTTGCATCAACTGAAAAAAAACAAAAAACACACAAACCTAATTACAACTCACCAACCGGAAGTACGGCTTGCAGCTAGGGACCTTCATGGAGCTGTGCTTTGCTTTGAGGATGCTTCCCAAGCTTTCCAACCATTGCAGCAAGGCCCAAATAGTGGGGGGTCCAGGATCTTCCCCGCTGAAGCCAAAGGCGCCTCATATTCAACAGGGGCTTATTCAAATTGTGGGTGAAGATTAGCACCCCAAGAAAGAAACCCAGACCCCAAGGGCTTCCCTTTGGGATTGCTTGTGAAGCAGCCCAAAAAGGGTACCGAGACTCAACGAAGACACGCGCATATAACATGCAATTTGCCGAGAAGTTGACACTTTGTAAACAAAATAATGTTAACCCCGGATGAATAAACCCCTGGTTGATTAATAGGGGGGTGTCCCCTTTTAGCAGGGATTCATCACTTTTGGAGGGAACACCCCCTAATAATGGAACGGGTTTATTAATCCTGGGTCAACATTATACACACGTCCCTCCCAAATGGATTGGCCAGACCCCGACACATCACTGGTGCTGGCTCCAATACAACCATCCCCGCCGGAACCGACAGTTTACAGCCAACATCGTTGGACAAATCATACTGCTTGACAACACATTCTGGCAAGTTCGGTTGCTTGACACTTCCACGAAAAACCGACACAACACAATGTACCCAAACTTGGCCTAGCCAGACTCCAGCATGCGAAAGAAGCTGGATTTGTCCAAGTGAAGCCGAATGCCGTGGGATCAAATGCATTGACATACGACGAGAAAGATGCTAAAGCTCCATTTCACAGCCACAGACCGCATTCCATGAAACACCCGTCTTTGCATCGAGGCGCTTCTCCACATCTTCGAATCCCAGTATGTGGGTCTGACAAGTTATGCGCTTGTCCATGCCCCTGGTGTCCAATCTGGGCAAATGAACAGCTGTGAGGAATTTTGATGGGAACCACTTATCTCTATCCTTTCCACGGACCTACGCTCTCTCCATCATTTCACGGCTTAACTGGTGGTGGAAATAGGATGAGATAATGATAGCCCACTCAATCAATGCGTCTCAACCTTCAAAGTAGTTGGTTGACACAAACTACCCCAAATGATGTCCACCAAAGGATCCTCAATTAGAAATCATACACCTACGGGTTCACCAAACAATGACCCCTTGTTGGACCCTGCCACTCCCACAATGCCGTCTAGAATTCCAATACGGGCCCGAATTCCGACCACCCCCCTCCCCCCCCACCCCCTCCCTCCCCCTGCCTCCCCCCCCTCTGCCTCCCCCCCCCTCCTCCCCCCCCCCCCTTCCCCCTCCTCCCCCCCCCACATAGCTCTAAGAGCCGAGGTGACTCACACGAGCGACTGTTCATCGAGTGAGCACCTGCGAAGCGATCTGCAGAGTCTCCCCACTGCTGGCGACAGAGGCCAACACGACCTCCGCGAGTGGTGTGTTCCGAACTGGGTAAGCAAAACCTGGAAAACCCACAACAGTGGATGCTCACGGGAAAACGTGGGCGCCTTATTTTGGAACTGGACTCTAAATAGGGAAACTGTTCCGCAAGAAAACAAACTAGGTTGCCACTGGTTGCAGGGTGAAGCATGTATATAATCAAAAATGGCGGATATCTTCACCCATTTATGGTTGGGACTGTCCTTGATCTCCACTTCCCCTAGTTTTGATTGTGACATTCCCCGCGTCACGAAGACATTCCGTCCATGAAAACATGCGCTGCCCTGCGAGCCAGGGGATTGATCCAGTCGCCCAACGCACCGGAACTGCCAAAATGTGTGCGCGTGCGCGTGCGCGCACGCGCGCGCGCGTGTGTGTGTGTGTGTGTGTGTTTATTTTGAAGGCGCCCTTACTTGGATGGGTTTCGAGGCCAAGAGGAAAACCACCATTTTGGAGGTTTTCTAAAAGACACACCCATGTGGGTCATAGTTTACCTTGACAGCAACCTTTGCGTTGCTTGTCTACTAGTTCCTAAAAGGCTCAATTCAAGTGCCACTAGCAACCCGAGTACAATCGGACTTTTGATCAACTTTCAGATTGACATTCAGAGCATCCCCCACGTCCGTCCAAGACATGTTGCCCCAACCACGACAAAGTCTGAAGACCGCCCTGCAAAGTACAAAAGGGGGATGAAGTGTTCGACCCATTTCGGGGTTATATCTCTTGTTTTTTACTGCTTATTGTTTGTTGGTTTTCAGCGAACCGTCGACTCCACTGAGGGGTGCCGAAAATTATTGTGCCAAGAGCAGAACCATGAGTTTACGTTCGCGGGCCCTTTCGGATCCTTTCACGACCACATTGTTTGCTTTCGCGGGCTTTGGTTTCCTTTGGAATTTCCCTGGGGTTCAACCCATATTAAAACAAAGGTTGATCCAATTTAGATGATGACAATAGGTAAATGATGGTGGTTCTATGTGGTGGTTTGACCCCCAGGGATTTCTCTCGCGGCGCTTCGCGGCGGCGCTTTCGCGGAACACTTTCGCCTGGCTTTCGCGGCGGGACCTTTCGGCGCTTTCGCGCGAAGCCTGGGTAAGCCTGCGCGGCCAGTTTGGCTTTCGCAGGGGCGTTTTGCCATGGACATTGCGGGCCACGAGCTGCTGACCTTTTCTTTTTGTGTTACTCAACGTTGCGCAGAGGTTTGTTGTTGAAACAGGACCACTCAAGTGGTACTACCCCCTTTTGTATACAACCCCAGGTGGTTTATCCCAGTATTCACATAGTTCCATCCATTTCAACTGGTGCCACCAACAGGACGATTTCCGCGTGCCTCCTTGTCGCCCCTCCATTCTTCCGAGGCGAATTGCAGGGCATCACCATCCTGCGCCAGCGAGGACGGCAGGATGGCAGGCATGGTCTGTCTCATGGGAGAACCCTCATTGTTTCAGGGGGTTCCCTTTCAAATTTCGGAAAGAAAACTGGCTCCCAAAACGGGCTCCCCCACCTTTTTGGATTGAGCCCTGATCTGCTTCGGCCGCAAAGCTTTTGGACAAACACCAAAGAGGCGTAGTAGTGGCTGCAAAGACACTTTGGGCGGATGTCCCGCACAAAAAGTAAAAGGCAAGCACAAGTTGGCATTAGCATGATTGAACATCAAAGAACAAAGGTCAAAACCCGCAATCATTGGCCCGGAGCTTTAAGGAAAAAGGTCAAGTTTCCCACACTTGTTTCAACAGCAGATGTGGACAAAGGTTTGCCTCGGAGACGCACTATAGGTTGCAACCATGTTGCAGATAGCAGGACTACTATCGACACCGTGACAGCGAGCTCTCCTGGCGGACGGCTGCAAGCACCTCGGCTGTCGAACATGGGCTTGGCGCACAAATAGGGGAACATCTCACTGGCTGAAAGGACCTGACAAAGGGTTCACCTTTTGGATCTTTGAGCAAATGTCGACCAAGCCAGGGAAACCAAGAAAAAATACAAGGTGGATTGGCTTTGGGCAAGTGAGACATAGTGCCAAGTTGGATCACATTGGCGGTTTCCCTTGCCATTCCCTTTCAACCCCCAAGACATGGCAGCTTCATTTAGAAGAAATCCAACATGGTTGCCTCGGGTCGCAGCTGTGTTGAAAAACCATGCCCAACATCCCGAATTACGCTTTGTAGGAGAACCAACAAGCAGTTAAAATCCCAAGTGCCGTTTGAAACCATCATTCCCTGGGAGGGCTCTGAGCTTGGGAGACTTGACCGGCTTCGGTTTTGTGGTGGCTGTCGGGGAATTCCACCCAGCAGGTGAGGCTCTAAAACACAAAATTCACTGGCGCAAAGGACCAAACATCCTACACCTACGCTACCTGGATCGCCAAGTGCCGGCCTTTTTCCAGACACTTGGGAAAAAGGCAGGAAACAGGTCTTGGGACCTTTTACTAAAAGTGGCTGCAAGGGAAAACCAAGAGCTTAAGGGTGGGTTGTGAACAACTGAGACCTTTTGGGGAGAGAGGTGTTTTCATTTCATTTTAAGCATTGCAGGACCTCTCATTCTAGCGCCGGCGTACAGCCGCTCCAATTCCCTGCCTCCAGAACAGTAGATAAGTCGGTCCGCGAAAAGGATTTCTCAACTTTCGGAGTGAGACAAAGGGCACCAGATCTAACAGGGTCGAGGTCAAAGATCAAGGTCTCAGCAAGCCCTGTGCGCTTGGATATCTTCGAGCCGACCCATATTGAACGTTTCCGTAGGAACACGGCAGCTGTGTCCCTCGCACTTTTTAAAAATTGGGAAACCATCAAGCAAATCCTCTGAGTTGATTTGTAGACATCCGGATCACTTTTCTGCCATTTGCTTAAGCCCCCTGAAAAAAAAGATAGAATCTGTTCAGTAGTGATAGATTCCCTATAAAACCAACAGGGGAAAATCAAACAAATATTCTCGAACAAATGGAAGTGTTGGGGAGAAGGAAACACCTGATGTTCATCCACCGGGTTTTGATTCATCCGGGTTCGACTTTACTTCACCTTTTTCGTAACAGCTTTCGGACTGGCCACAAGGCGTTCTGCTCACTGCATCTCGAGGTGAAAGGGAACCTATGGCATGCCATTCCTTTCACTGAGGGGAAATATATGGCCCTGGGGCATAACCTTTGGCTCCATTTTTGGGTGGATGAACATCCATTGGCCACCTATTTTGATGTTCACCAGGGGCACAGGGTTTTGACCCACAGCCATATTGAACCTTTAGCCCTTTAGAACCCCCCCCAATGCTAGACACATGCATTTCGGCGTATACAAAGCACCCACTTTACCTTGGAACAGCTTGAAGCTTACCTGCATCTGGATCTGACGATGCCCCCCTGATGGAATAGCTTCCCACTATGGAAATTGAGGAAGACATGTCGGTTGCTGCTCCAAGCACCGGAAGCGCACACTTTAGGGGACTTCAAAAGGGAGACAATTGCCCCGAAAGTTGCGAACTTCAAGTCGTCTGGTTGAAGGAATACAATTAGAATAAACTTGGGTATACAAACCATGTCTGGCACTATTGTCTTCCAAGTTTTACGATAGAGCACACTCATTTGAGGCAGTAAACGGCTGAGGTGCCGAAATCAGGCTGTGCGTTCAACGCCATCCGGGGGCACCTTGGCCCCTTAGAACCAACCACCGCTTCACATAACCCCCCGGTCCATTTAAGCAATTGTCCAAGTCATTTGTGATGGAAGGTGCAGGCCAATCACATGTGGCAGGCTTTAACCACTGCTTGAACATCTTCTTGAAAAGGGGGCCATGCCACGGTCAGAAAAGTGCCCCCCCCCCCCAAAAAAAAAAAAAAAACAATAACACAAACATATAAATTTTCAGAAACTAACAGGAACAGCTGTTTGTGTGCCTTTCAATCTCAGCCAAAGCGGGGTCCATTTTCTTTGCTAAGTGCCCGGCAAGGGCTTGATCCTGCAGCCTGTGCCACGAGACAGCCCTTTGCCAATGGCAGCTTCTCAGATGGACCAACCCAAGGAGCAAAACCAAGGGACCCAACCCAGGGAGACTATCGTTCCTAAGCTGTGGCTAAAGGGCTAATAATGTTGAACCCACAGAAAAATCAACCCCAGTTTATTAATACGGGGCTTTTCCCTGGGTTTAGTGGGGAATCAGACAATTTTTGGAGGGGACGGCCTCCCTATTTACAAGCAGGGGTTGATCTTTCTGGGGTCAACATTATTGAGAACCCTCAACGTGCTACTACTTGATTGGACCCGAACGGTGCTTGCCCGTTTCTGTGATACCGCTTAGTGGCATTGGTTGAAACAGAAACACCCCAGCTTGACTCCAAATGTTGGAACCCTTTCACATGCTGTGCGTGTCTTAAGGGTCCGCAGTCGATGATTGAAGGGCTGATGACTTACTTTTAGAGCCGCCAGGCTTTTCCTCACGCAGCCTCAACATAGGGCAGTTGCCTGTGTCCCGCGTTTTTCTGAGTGGCTGCTTGAAATCAACAGTGAGTCCTCAATTTCAATTTGCTTTTGCATCCCCTGGAAAGAATGAGAAACTATGTCCAATAGTGATAGTGTTCCTTTAAGCCCAGGGGAAAATGAAAAAGACAAATTTCAGCAAATGAAACGGGAGTGGTTGCCCAATTCTAGGACCTGTTTAAGGCCCCAATGGGAGGCTGTCTTTTTCATTTGTCATCTTGATTTCCCTTTTACCCCCCCTCACCAAAAAACAAGATCCTCAAAAAACGACACACGCATGTGGCCAACAACATCCTCAATGCGAAAAACCACCCGTCAACTGTTGGTTTAGCCTACAACCCTACTTTCCTGGGGTACCTTCCCAATTCTTTCCAGGGATCCTTCTTTCTAGAAAACCCTGAGAAACCCGGGAAAAAGGGCGTTTTTTTTTTTTTTAGAACGATGGTTGAAAAGAATGGGGAATCAACCCGTGGATGCTTGTGGCACGAACATCAACCAGGGTGCCTGGCTGAAGCGGTGGCTGATCAACCAATCGATCTTTGCACATATTCGAGTCCATGTCAGAGCCTCCAAACAATTACACCTCTAGATTGTGGCTCAAGGGAAGCAACCCAAGGAGCAAAACCAAGGGACCCAACCCAGGGAGACTATCGTTCCTAAGCTGTGGCTAAAGGGCTAATCTTGTTGAATCCACAGAAAAATCAACCCAGTTTATTAATACGGGGGTGCTTTTCCCTGGGTTTAGTGGGGAATCAGACAATTTTTGGAGGGGACGGCCTCCCTATTTACAAGCAGGGGCTGATGTTTCTGGGGTCAACATTATTGAGAACCCTCAACGTGCTACTACTTGATTGGACCCGAACGGTGCTTGCCCGTTTCTGTGATACCGCTTAGTGGCATTCCCATCCTCATCGCTACTTTACCGCCAACTTGTGGTTGAAACAGAAACACCCCAGCCAACTGTTCCCCCCATTTGGACACTACCGAACGCTAAAGTGAACCCCAAGTTAACATTACCCCCTATCAGTTGTTTACACATAAAACCTCCTATACACATAGACCCAGGGAAAACATATTTCAGACTCCCATTGACAAATGTGAGCCCAACTCCCTCAACATGCCCAAGTGGGCCCACTCATTTTGGCCGCGTCGTGGTGGTTCACCAGGAACACCTCAAGGTTATGTACATAGACCCCCTAGCCTTCATCCCACAAACACACTCAGCAGAAGCTGTCGAAAGAGCTTTCTGTCTTAACCGACAAGGGATCAAGAGGGGAAGGCATATGGGGGGCCCCGAGAAAGCCAGCGCTTTGCCAAGTTGGGTCTCCTGCATTCGGATCCAAGTGCAATTGCTTGATCCCATACGAAGAGGTGACGCCCCAAGAAGGGCACCCAACAAAAAAGCGCCGACCAAACAACGGCCTTCCTAGTCGCAAAACTCGCCCCTGTTGGGATTGGGGCATCGGCCCCATGTTGGAGAATTGCCCGTGATAACTAAAGGAAACTTGATGCGGCAGAACATATAGCTGTGATTGTGCTTTTGAGGGAACCTTTTTGAGGGTTGATTTGAAGCGATTTTGTGGGTTGCCCGATTTTGAGACACACCCATATGAGCGACGACAAAACGTATTCCCTCCCCGAAAGGCGACTACAATGGAGACTACAATGGAGGCTACAATGTGGTATGCAAAGTACACCAGTGACCCAAATGGGCGTGTTTTTTTCAGGCACCCCCCCAAAAAAAACACATATACACCAGACGAAACCCCAGATAGCGAAAACGTGCCAATAATGGTACACCAGCACCTCTGAAGTTCCCTCCGACGAGCGCCCCAAACACACTCGGCCATCAATCTCGCACAAAATATCACCAACACCCCCAAAGCATCCCAAGCAGCACCCCCAAACAGTACCCCAAATTGCACGCCCCCTAGCACCAGCCCGTCAATCTTGCAAATCATTTTCCCTTTATTCGAAGTTAGAACCCCTCTAGCTTTCAGCGATCGGGAAACAACAACAACAAAAGTACTGGTTCCCTTTGGTTTCCCTTTAAAAACCGGAGAAAAAAAAACAAGCAAAAAAAAACACAAGAAACACAAAACAACCCAAAGTACAGTTCCCCTCCAAGAAGGCGAGCCCCCCACCCTCCCACCCCCCCCCCCCTCGCCCCGCCGGAGGTTCCGGGCCCCCCAGCTCCAAGTTCGGTGCCAAGCGCAGCAGGCGCCCGTCACGGGTCACCGCCGCCAGCAAAAGGTCCCGGTCCTCACGGCGGCCGGGCCAAAGGCTCGGGCTCTGGGCCAAAACAAGGGTACTTTTAGTGGGTGAAATGGAAAACCCCCACCAAAACTAGAAACTTAAACACCTAGGCAGATGGCTGGGAAGCAGCAAGTTTGGTTTCCCTTTAAACTAGGTCCTCCAGATTTGGAGGTTGGAATAAGGGTACCTTTTTTTTGCTGTAGTCTATTTCAGTAGGGGAACCCTCCCCCAAAAAAGGGGAGAGAAGGGCACTACTGGGGGACCTAGTGATGTTTACCACTGCAAATGGTCTTCACACAAAGTTACTCAAGTCAACTTGTTAGTTCCCACTAAAAATGGCCTTCAGAAAAGTTCCTAAAGTCGGGAACTCGGGCACTGAGGAAGTGCGTGCGTTGACGCCTCTGGTTCATTGGCTTGGGACGGGAGGTAATATGTCCCATCTCACTTCCGCTCCAGCGGATAAGGCCAAAGAGGGTGCCTGAACTTCTGATATTTACAACACAAACATGGTCCAAAACTCCCCAAAAAGTGACAAAGTCCAGGAACTCAGGGAGTGAGGTAAACTAGGTAACAAAAAAGCTTGCCACCCTGAAACAACACATGCTAGGAAAATGGATCGAAGGGCTACCTTTGGGTCTTACTGGGTAAGGGGAAAGGCGCAGGCTCCCCCCCCCCACAAGCCAAGAAGGGTTCTAAAAACCTTCCCAGGAGGCAGTTCTTGTTGACGGGTTTTGAGAACCATGGCGGCTGCGGGCGGGCCCAAATGATGAACCTGAAATATTCTCGGGGTTCCTTCTGATTTCTTTTCAGCCATCGCTCTTTTCAAAAAACCAGCCTTTCTTTTCTTTTTGGGGGGGGGGTTCTGATGGTTTTCTGGAAAGATTCGGATCCCTGGGTTCAGAATGGAGAAGTAGCCCCTCGAAAAACGGGAAACTCGTCCTGATCGACCCCAGGCCTTGATGGCCTCGCAGCTTGTTTTTCAGCTTCTCCGTGGACGCTTCGGGGAGATGCAAATCACTAAGTGGCTGTGGTTGTCAAAACCAATGGGCCATTTTGGGGGGCGGGTGCACCAGTCTACTTTAGTGGGGATTGGGATGTTCACTGGGGGTACGATTTGGATTTTGACCCATGCCCAAGTTGCAACAGCCGATCACTTTCTCTCAGATGCCCAGTGGCCACGGGACAAAAAAGGCCTCCTTTTTGGGTTTGGCTGAGTTGAAAGGGGGATCAATCCCAAAAACAAGGAGAGAAAAAACGCGCCACTGGGCAGCTGGGGTGTGAATAACGTGATCCTCAGGATCATGCATCCAGACGGTGGCTGTAACCAAAATAGGGAGTTGCTCCGCTTTCTGTGGTTTCCTTTCAGCCTTTTGGTTCCCTTGAGAACCATGCCAAAACTGGAGCTCCCAACTTCACTAAAAATCCCAGTGCCCATGGGGAAAAAAGGGCACCTGCCTTTGTAGTTGATAATGAAGGCATCTTAGAGGCCCCCAAAAACAAAAACTCGCTTCCTGGATTGGCCGCAAAACGTCCAGCCAGCAAGATGTTCCAAACCCACAAACTCACTCATCAGGAAGTAAGCACCTGCTACTTAACAAGGAAATTATGAGGGGTATCCAAAAAATATGAGGGGTATCCAATATAAGGAAATATGAGGAATATGAGGGTCTAAAAATCCAACCCAATAGCACTAGAGAAACTTCCTAGATAGCCAAGTTGCGATCGCTTTTTTCAGTCACTGTTGCTGGTGTTTGGGGTAAAGTGCATGGACAAAAAAAAAGGATCGCAACTGCCGATCCAGGCTGTTCCCATGCTCTGGCTGTGCGCCCGGGCACTCCAAAGGCTCTCGTCCGCAAAGCGCAGCGTGGCACCTGCAAGGCCATGGCGGCCATGGGTCACTCGGTTGCGAAATCTGCGAAGCCCAGCTACAAGTTTTCAACTTTTAGCGGTTTAATACGGAAAACCCATTAGTTGGCAAAAAGTTAAAGTCCTAACATCCAAGCAAAATGCACCAAAGGTCAGTTGGGTGACCTCTTGAATGGGCTCAAATGGGTTTGGTCTCAAAAGTGAACCCTCAAATTGAATTGTTTGGATTTGAGCTGGTGCTGTAAGATACATGATTGTCCTTTGGTGCAAGCTGTCTCCTGAATTTGGTCATGGCCGTCAAAAAGGACCCGGAATGGCCACCAACCCAATTTGAGCCAAAGCTTGCCATTATCTTTTGGGAGCGGGTATTTTCAAGCCCCACCCTGCATTTGTCGACCGCACAGCTAAATCACAAGGCATCGAAATAAACGGGTTGGAATCGAAAGACAATGGCAAACAACTGGTCCCAAACTATACGATCCTAGAAATAATTTAGACAAATAATTCTCAAACTCCAGGCCAAATTGGAAACTGTGACAGCGCCGTTGGAACTATATTCGAAACCATGGAAGTGTGTCTTGGGAAACAGAAACCTGATCCGAACATCGCCAAAAAGCATAAACAAACCACGAGGCCGGCTGGACAAACACATGTCTGCCGCATGGCTCGTCTTGCGACTCAACCTGCCTGCCGAGTCGTGGGCCAAATCAGTAGAAAAGGTCGATTGGGCGTTGGTGATCCTTTCGGCCAAGTCGTGGGTCTGATTTTGTCAAGTGGACGAAACCCACACGGCAACTGGTTGAAAGGGACTGGTGCCAAACTGATGTCCCCTTGCTTTCTTGTCACGGTTCAGCATCTGAGAAGTGGCTGTGGGTCAAAAATAGGTACCGAAAATGGCACCCTGCTAAATGGAAACAATGACTAAAACCTGTGGTCTCCTGGTGGTTTCATTTTGACCCATACCCAAGTGAGCTCAAGCACAAAGCCGCAGCTTAATGAGAAGGATGCCATCCCAGTTCCCTTTGTAAACCACTAAGTTTGGGGCACAATCTGGGATTTGTCTGGACAATGAGGGACCATCAGAATGCGGTGGGGATTCATGTCCACCAGCCACTTTTGAGGTGGTTATCTATTCAAAATCATAGTCATCAAAGTAAATTTGGGACGTATAACCAACAAAATCCATGTAGGTAATAGAACCAACATTCGACCCACTTCGAGATTTGGTCAACGTGGCTCTATATATTACCTACATGGATGGAGTGTTTGGGTAAGTATTTCGATAGGATCGCACCTCAAAAGTGGTTGGGGGTGCCCAACTACAATTCACGCCCCTTTTTTGGGTGCCTCCTTCTTTGACCCCTTTTGAGGCTTGCTTCAAAGGGGAAACCAAAGGAAGACCAAAATCCATCTTGAGGGTGGCCCCCCAAAAAAAGTGAAAAACACACCCAGTTGGCTTTCGGTCCCAGACCCTTCGAGTTGGCCCGGGAGCGAGCCGCGCCCTCACGCGCCACTGCGGCAGCAACGACCTGAGTATGGTAGCTTAAATAGGGACAGGTACGTCAGGTGAGTGGTTTGTAAGCCTGATTAAAAATAAAAAAACGATTCATGGTTGTAAGTCCCCGTTCAGGTTATTTCACCAGGCTTCCTAACCACTTGTCCAGAGGTACCCTGCACGTTTAAGAGGCCAGTGGATGTGGCATGTTGGAAAACTCACTTCCGATCGAGTGGATCGACCAACACCCAAACTTTTTCGGTTGCCGAGCTCTTTCTTGGTGGGTGTTAAAAGGAAAGCAAAAGGACAACCAATAAACATGGGGGGGTGTCTGTCCCCTGAAAAAATCATCCCATGCTTGATGTGTAAAGCAAACACTCAGGTATTTCGTAGCTTTTGTCTGATAGATTAGAACACATCTTATGACCCATGAATAGAAATGCGGCTTGAGGAACGCAACACGGACAAAAACACTGGACGTTGCCTTCAGACTTTGCTTGCCTACCTGAGACATCCATATCCATCCCCAGTTACACCTGCTGAGAGGGTCTTTCGGGGGTTTCTCCAAAAGGGGACCAGGGTGGTTCCCCAAAAGGACAATCCCTGGGTTCAAGTCTGCCTTGGTAGCCAAAAAGTGGCACCCTGAAACCCACCGTTTTAGGACTGATGTTGAGAAACCGCGGCGAGCGCGCGCGTGTTGTTCTTCCACGTCCTTGAACAAGTTCCAAAACTACGTGAGCTCTTACAAGATTTCTTCTGGGAATTTTCATTCCAGACATGGTTGCTGAGATGTTTACTTGTTTGTTTGGTTTGGAATTCCTTTCTCGAGGGATTTTGGGAACTTTGAAATTCCCAAAAATATCGAGATGGTTTTTGGCATGTTGCATTTGATTTTTAGTTTGTTTCATCAAACGGGGATTGTCCCCTAGCGACGTTGATCCGGGCTGGATCTTGTTTGTGTGTTTGTTGTTTCTCATTTTTACATGTCCCACGAGCATAACTTCGAGACTTTTGGGAATCCCATCAAACATTTCTTTTCGGTGAATTCGGCAAAACTCGAAAAAGCCGCCAAATTCCAAAAGCAACTCGAGATTTTGGAATTCCCCACACAATGTGCTTGTTTCTTTTCTTGTGAACTCCGCAAACAATAACGCAACAATCCTCAGTCAATTACGGGAAAAAATATAGGGGTAGCTCTCTCATGGACGCAAAGATCCGAGTCTTCCCAGAAAAGCACACCACAAGGGGATTGGACGGCTTGTTGCAAGGGATTGTTAAACACAAACAACAACTCAAGCCCTCAGGGACACCCTTCAAACGAAAAAAACAAATCAGAACCAACACCTGCCCAAAAAAAAGAAAGCTATCAACCCATAGAACCAACTCATCCCGATTTGGGCCTTTTTGGTCCCTCGCCCCCCCGGTTTGGCGCATGCCTCTCGGCACTTCTTCAAGTCTTCGGAGGCGTACTGCAAAGCATCAGCGTCCTCGAGACCCGACGGTTGCCTCTGCTTTCCGTTTCAATCCAGCCTGAAACATCAATACCGCTCATTTTCCATGTTCCACGACCTGATCCATTTGGCCCGACCGCATAAATCTGCTCATCTTCAGTGCCATGGGCATGAGTTTTCTTCAGGGACCGTTTGGACATCATTCGGGAGTCATGCCGAGTCATGCCCACCAACCACTTTCCAAAGGGCATATTGAAATTCATGGCATGAACGCTTTCCGAATTATCTGCGGGGAGAAGTCCAATCCTATTGCTCAGTTGCCCAAAGGACCTGGAATTACATTCCCAATCACCTTCATCCGATGTCGGGCTAATTCTTGTTGGAGACACAACAGCTATGTCATCAGTCTTGGGTTTTCAACAGAAAAAAACTTGGGATTGCCGTCTGTGGTGGCTGAGAAAGACCTAAAGCTGTCGATTGTTGTTCAAGCTGAAATGCATGCGTTGCCAACTCGACTAAGTATGCGGTATGCGCTATGAAGCGCACGTTGTCCCTGCTTTGATAAGAGCCAGTTTGACGCACGCATGCCCCATTTTCGAAGCTGACACAAGGTCCCGTCAAGAGACACAGACAGCTTTTCGCCTCTGAAGAGACCTACTAAAGGAACGAGAGAGGAACACTGGGCAAATGAACACCATGCGCCACCACCACCACCACCACCACCACCACCACCACCACCACCACCACCACCACCACCACCACAACCACCACAACCACCATTTCCACCACCATTTCCATCATTTCCACCTTGTCAGAAGTTAACACCATCTGGGCTGGGTTTGGCGCCACGCGTGAAGACAAACCTGCTTCCAGCCCCAAAAAACTGCCCACATCTCTTCCCTCCATCAACTGGAAACTCGGGATCGCGAGAGAAAACTCGGTCGAGATCGCAAGGAAACGCATTGCTGAGCTCGCTACGATTCAGAACGAAATGCAACCTCCACATGGTCCACAGGAACCAACAAAAACAATCCAACGTGGGAGAGGAACACGTGGTTCCTGCCAGGCAGGAGTACTGCTGGTTTGTTCCATCCCAAACTCCTTGGAGAGAACCAGTCGATGGACAAAGCCCCAACAAAAACCACGCGCCAAGCATTGCCGGGCATTCATTCATGATACCCTATGGCCACCACTCCCATCCCCAACATGACATTATTTCAGTGCCCGAGCATTCCCTCCGCTTGGAACCAGCGGAGTCTTGGCAGTGGTTTAAACACGGAAAACAACATCTGCGGGAAACCTGGGTCCTGCCAAAACGAAGCTACCTGAAATCGGGACATAAATTGGTCCACATCAGGGGCACACGGAAAATGAGCAAGACACGTTTAGAATCGTTTTCATATTGGGTCTACCCTACTACGTAATCTAGTACTCAACTTGTTTTGGAGGACTCCCCAGTTTCAATTGGCACCACGAAGTGGCCCACAATCCCTGCGCCACAGTTGGGGCGACCTGCCCCAAAGGTGCCATTGTAGTTGGGTTCCAGGACCTTTTCCGCTCCTGCTCGATGGCAGCAAGGACCACCTGGCATTCTTTAGGGATGACTCTCCCTAGACTTCCGCCTGAAAACACCCCACCAAAAGGGAACTCAGTTTGCATTGGCAGAAAAGGTGATGTTTGAAACCACCAAAAGGGGGAATATAGCATACCCTGCCTCATCCTTCACGTTGTCTAGTGCCATTCGGGTGAATTGAGGGAAACAACAGCACACATATATATATATATTACTTGTATGTGCCTGCATATGGCCGAAACTCCAATTTATCACTGTTGCAACTTGTATGCTGATTGCGTAGGCCCAAAATACACAAAGCAATGACCAGTTGCTAGAAAGCGCAAGCAAGAAGGCACTGTAAACGTGGAGCCACGGAGATTCATAACGGAGGGCGGATTTCAGGGTCCATTGTGAGCCACACAGCGGCTCAAATGGCCCCTGGTTGTCAAGTTGTTGAACATGTGGGCGCGTCTGTTTTGTACAGGGGAGTCCTAAAATGGTGGTTCTCCTTTTGGTTTCCCTTTAAAACCAGCCATAAGCGCAACAGGAGGTGCCCCAAACAAAAGACACACCCCTGTCTTGCCTGATTTGTTTTTATGTTGGCGGCGCAGTCGTCGCTCCATCTCTCTCTTCTGGGCCTTGTTCCGACGAAAGATTCAGTGCAAAAGCTAGTCTTCATTCAGAGTCGGAGACACAGCACTGTGTTCCTGAACCCTGCCCCATTTTTCCGGGCGTACGGCATCAAACTATGTGCTGCGTTCCCCAACGTGGTTTCAGGGATTCCGGTCGGTGGCAATAACGCGTTGGTTTCGGCAGTGCTTCACCTTGGGCAGGGTCAACGCAAAAAACAAGTATCAGTGGCTTGTTCGCGGTTGGAAACTCTTTTTTTGTACCAGTAGAGCCGGCCAAGCCGGTGGGCAAAAGCTTCAAACATATAAACACTATAGTTATCTTTCCCTTTCTTTTCTTGATTCTGTTTTCTCTCCTTCTTCCTTTTCACGGTTCTCTTTGTTCCGTAACTCTGTCTTTCTGACTTTATTTCTTTCTTTCTGTCCTCCCTTCTTCCCTTCTTTCCTTCCTTCTTTCTTTTCTTTCCTTCCTTCTTTCTTTTCTTTCTTTATTTCTTTCTTTCCTTTTGCTTGTTTTTGTGTTCTTTCTTTTATCTCCTCTCTGTCTATCTATCTCTCTATCTACCTATCTATCTATCTATCTATCTATCTATCTATCTATCTATGTGTGTATCTATCTCTCTTTGTAACTATCTATCTCTCTTTGTGTCTATCTAACTATCTGTCTATCTATATTTCTATCAATCTATCTATCTAACTCTCCATCTTTCTATCTCTCTATCTATCTGTCTGTCTGTCTCTCTGTCTGTCCATCTATCTATCTATCTACTTCTCTATCTATCTCTCTATCTATCTATCTACCTATCTCTCTATCTCTCTGTCTATCTATCTATCTTTCTCGTTCTTTCTATCTCTCTATTTATCTATCGATCTCTCTGTCTTTCAGTTTATCTATCTATCTAGCTACCTATCTATCTCTCTATCTATCGATCTATCTCTCTATCTATCTATCTATCTATCTATCTATCTCTCTGTCTTTCTATCTCTCTGTCTTTCTAGTTATCTATCTATCTACCTATCTATTTATCTATCTCTCTATCTATCTCTCTGTCTTTCTATTTATCTATCTATCTACCTACCTATTTATCTATCTCTCTATCTATCTATCTATTTATCGATCTATCTCTCTATCTATATCTCTATCTGTCTATCTATCTACCATTTTTCTACCTCTCGTGCATCTACTTATCTATTTGTCAATATCTCTCTCTCTCTCTCCATCTATCTCTCGTACATCTCTCTATCCATCTATCTATCTATTTCTCTCTCTCTCTTTTATCCTCTGTCTCTCCTCTATCTATCTACCATCTCTCTATCTATATCTACCTATCTCTCTATCAATCTCTCTATCTATCTATGCATCTGTTTATCTATCTATCTATCTATTTATCTATCTCTCGTGTATCTACCTATCTATCCACCCATATCTCTCTCTCTCTCTCTCTCTCTCTCTCTCTCTCTCTCTCTCTCTCTCTCTCTCTCTCTCTCCATCTATCTCTTATGTATCTATCTATCCCTCTATCTGTCCATCCATCCATCCATCCATCCATCCATCTATGTTGCTATCTATCTATTTCTCCATCTATCTATGCATGTATCTATCTATCTATCTCTCTCTCCGCCAATCTATCTAACTTTCTATCTATCTCTCTATTTATACCTATCTATATTTCTATCTATCTCTCTCTCTCTATCTATCTATCTATCTCTCTGTCTCTCTATCTCTTTGTCTATGTACCTATCATTTACATATCTATCTATCGACCTATCTATCTATGTAGGTATCTCTCTTTCTACGTTATCTATCTATCTATCTATCTGTACCTGAATTTGTAAACTGCTGCCCCTGCCACGAAATCTGTACTTGACCTTGCGCAAGTGCTGCGCCTGCCACGAATTCTGCACTTGACCTTGCGAAAGTGCTGCCCCTGTCACGAAATCGTCACGCGATCTGCACTTGAACTTGCGAAAGTGCCGCGCCTGCCACGAAATGTGTACTTTACCTTGCGAAAGTGCTGCGCCTGCCACGCAATTGGATCCTTGGGAAAACTTGACCTTGCGAAAGTGCGGCGCCTGCCACGAAATCAACAGCGTTCAACAAGTGCTCGGAAGATGCTCCAAAGCATTTGGAACCGTACAACATCGTACTGTTGTGACAACTTGAATGCGTGCAACAAATATTTGATCCAGCGGAAATTTGCAAACCCCAACTACGCTAGATGCACCTCAAGTTGCACCTTCCATGGCATGGGTCACCAACAGGAACCTATGCCAAAATTGGGATATACACACAAACATGGATTTCAACTTTCCAGGATGTCCCCCCCAAGAAAAAAACGTGAACGCAACCAGACCTAAGCCGAAAGACTGGTTGTCGCTGGCATGGCCCTAGCGCCGACCCGGCCTCGCGGTCGTCCTGCAGCTCTGGCGCTGCGAACCTGGGAGAACAGCTCCAGGCTCCGATGCAAAGACTTCCCTACAGTAGGTCCTCCAGTAGAGGAGGTCCTCCTACTGGCCCTTGGTCCTAGGTCCCCTAAGGGGGGCTATGGGGAAAAAGGGGCTATCCCTTATTGACCCCATCTAGGTCCTCCAGTAGAGAGGTTAGAATAAGTTGGTACCCGGTTCTTTTTCTTCTTTCTTCTTTTTTTCCTGTGGTCTATTTTAGTAGGGGAACCCTCCCCCCAAAAAGTTGGTAAACGGGCACTACTGGGGGACCTAGTTCCCATGTGGATGGGCCTGTTGCGGTTTACCTTTGAATTTCTTCCTCATACTACCCGTGGAGAAGTCTGAAACTTCACCCTCCATGGAATTCCACAAGAACTCCAAGTTCATCCTTTGTCAAAGAATCTCATTTTTATCGCCATCTACCGAACAGCTAGGAGTCAGTCCAAGAGCTCCGGGAGTGAGGCTGTTGATGGCTTTTTCTAGGGCTTTTTCTGTTCAGTATCGAGAAGGCCCCCAGCTTGCGGGTGTCGAGAAAAACAAAAAAGGGAGAAGAACAACGAACTTCGGCTTCTTTGAGGGGGAGGATATGGTACTCGCGCTGGGATCCAGTTGCATTGTACTCCCGACTTTGATCGACTCCATCTCTGAACAAATGGATGCAGGGGCACAAGGTGCCAGAGCTGGCATATTGTCGCCTTGAGATTGAGATGTCACTTCTCGAAGCCAATCATCCAGCGGGCCACGTTGTGAACTTCTCCGTGCCGGCATTTCACAGAAACGGTTCACCAGAACCTAGCTGGCGCTCAGCAAACGATTTAAGGTGTCGGGCATGGATCGGTTTTTGGGCATTCCCTTGAAAGAAACCATGGGTGATGGGTTTTTTCAAGGGTCATTCCATTTCTCATTCCCTGCCTATCGAACCAGCAAGGAACTGCTCCAGCAGATTTCGACTCTGCAGTAGCATGCCGCTTTCAGCTGTTGGCGGCAGGGCTTAAGGTATCAAGGAGGCCCAAATGGATCTGTTCCATGCAACTCGCAGCTAAACTGAGAGACACACGCGTACACATCAATATGTGGGAAACAGGTGCAACTTGCTGGGGGGATGTTTATGTTGACAGGCCGGATGTGGGTCTGTTTTTTCCTTCTTCTGTTTCTCGGAGGCTGCCCTTTTGGGAGTGGTTTGCTTTGAGGGGACAACTAGAGGGAACACCGCAATCTCCGTGCGGGTCCCCTGTTTGAAACATGTTGAGACTTGTGATGGTGAACTGTACGTGCAGAGACGTGCAATGTTCGCATCACTCGCCGGCTACATGTTCGAAACCAAGGCCGAACTCGAAAATCATGAAAGCTTCGAGCTGGTCCGCAGACCCCATCCCAAAATGCATGTAGTGACCCCAGAAACACAAAACGCCTTCTCTGAGTGCCTCATGTGAAATGCGCAGGGAACCGGCCCTATGGTCCACCATCCAGTTTCGACTGCTCTTGCCAATCCACACCGCACACATGGCTTGGCTGTTTAAAATGAGGTCGCGAAGCCCGATATTCCATCTGTTATCCTGAGTGCGATACCACAACAAGAGAAACCGCGACAACAAAAGGATCTTGCAATTTGAACTTGAACAATCCCAACAAGTTGTACACTTCGGTTTCTCTGAAGCAAAAGACCCGGGAGCAAATGTGCTGGACAAAGTCAGGTGGTGTCCCCAGAGAAGATTGCTATGCATTCATTTCTCCCCAAAATATGGATCCCTGTTTGGATGAGTTCAACAAGAAGCCAAAAGAAGAAACCGCCGGGAGGGGGTTCACTCCTAAATTTGAGAAACACCCAACACACTAGCTTCCGATCGACTGCGTTGGTCAAGAAAAGTCCCCCGAACCTTTGGTGTGTTACTAAAATGGTCCTGCACCCCCCCCCAAAAAAACTTTTTGTATGCCACTACAATGGTCCTGCCCCCCCCCAAAACATGTTGTACGCCACTACAATGGTCCTGTTCCCCCCCCCCCAAAAAAAAGTGACTAAGGTCCGAAAACGGAACTCAGGAGGTGCAAAGCCAGGCTGGCCCCGTGGCTCCCCGGCTGCAGAGCGATGCCCTCATCTTGCACGGCGCGCAGCACCAGGCCCCGGTCCTACGGCCGAGCGAGCGAGCCGTTGCCTTCTTTGGAAGGTCAGCTGCCCAAGGGTTCGCTGGAAACAACAGGTTAACCTTCATAGGTGGCCTTTTGGAAAAATAGATGGCCCTAGTAAATGGTTTTAAAAACCCATCTAAACCAGCGCCATCTATGTTGAACCACGCTCACCTAAAAAGGACACCTACGCTAACCTTGTGGATCCCTGACCAAGGGCCAACTTCATCTGATCCCCTTGAATTACCTTGCTGAAATGGGCAGCCAACCACTCAACCAGCTGGAAACAAACAAACACCTAGTTGATCCGAACCAGAAGCCTGGGAACCACCAAGTTCAGTCACTGGAGTTCCCTGCAAGTTGGTGAGGTCCAAGGAAAGTGCAGTGCCACTTTAGGTCACAAGGGAACTCGGACTGTCAAAGGGGGTGCTTCCCGGACGTTGGTGAAGTCACGAAACAAAAGGGACAAGGGTGAAGACCTAAGCTGAAAAAGTTGGTCGAAGAAAGTTGGAAGGGGCCCTTGGGGACACAATGAACCTGTGCTTGCTTGATTTCGTCGCGGCTTTGCTAGGGAGCCGGGCGGAATCTCTGAATCATCCCTCGTTGTTTTCAGAGAGTTTGCAAAGATATCAAGGAAGTTCCTGTCGGCTAGAGATATGGCCATGGGAAATCCCGTACCCCCAGTGAACATCCCAGTCCCCACTAAATAGACTAAAATGGGTGGTGCACCTACCCCAAAATGGTACCATTGGTTTTGACGCACAGCCATATAGCCTTTTACTTCTGAACTTCAAACACAACTTTGACTTGAGGAAAACTGTCCTAGCAGCTAGCAGCCGTCAAGCAAGCAAAGCTACACTGCAAAACGCTAAATAATAACTGATGCGTGTCACCGCATGTCAACCTAGCACGTATGTTGTACAAGTAATTACCAAACTTATGGACAACGCCATTTTCCAACATCTTGGAACCGAACGGCATGAGAATGCCCTATATCTGCTTTTTGAGCACTGCCTTGAAGGTGAGTGCTGACAAGGAGGAAGAACACTCGCGTGCACTGACAGGGATCCAGATTCATGCCAGACAAATCGCCTCACCCCCAGTCGGTGGTTTGGTTGGTGGTTTTGATCTTAGGGAGGTCCTGCCCCACTTGGCCTCAAAAAGAACTAGATTTCAAATCCAACCAATCCAAGCCACCTGGATCGCCAGTTGCCGTTCTTTTCTCCTTTTTTCTCCATGCACTTTACCCCAAACACCAGCAACAGTGACAAAGAAAAAAGCGATCGCAACTTGGCCTAGGAAAAATCAAGGGGTACTTGACCATTGGTTTCCTACCCCAGCGATGCCCTCGCTTGCCATACAGAGCAATGCGCTGCCGACGGAATGGATCAAGAAAGCTCAGAGGCCCAGTTAGGCATCCTTTTTTGGTTGGTTGACTTTAAAGGGACGCCCTTCTCCTCAAAAAAAACACAAAAAGGCACCACTGGGCAACTGGGACAAAGTAGAAGTACCTACTTTGACCTCTTATCCTTTGGGCACGGAAAGAAGAAACAACAAAAACGACAACAAACAAAAAAGCGGGAGAAGAAAAAACAAACAAACAAACACACAAAAACACATCGAAGCTGGCAGCTCCTTGCGCTCGGCATCCCCGCCGTCGCGCAGCAATTCCCAGGGGCTGTCCATCGCTTCGGGTGGCCTGATATGAGTTTGTCTAGGTCCTCCAGTGGAGAGGTTAGAATAAGGGTACACGATTTTTTTGCTGTAGTCTATTTCAGTCGGGGAACCCTCCCCCAAAAAAGTTGGTAAAAGGGCACTACTGGGGGACCTAGTTGTCAAACAATTCGGGAACTCAACCCCCCCAAAATGGGCGGCTTCCTTTTGGCAATGACCCCTGTAACACAAAGGAAAGCAAGAGACATCAAACAAATGAACTGCAGTTGCTCATTGAGCAGAAGTTGCTCATTGTCTGTGCCAAGTAAGCTGCCGTTGCTTGCCTGCTGCTATTGACCCGCGCCTTGTGAGCACGCTCTTCTTTGAGGTGGAAGCTGCCAAACAGGCTCCAACTAACCATGTCAATTCCCCAAGTCCCCAAGCAAAGTCCCCATTTTTCAAGTCCCACGAAAATTATATCCATGTCTCAACCACCCATGAGACTTTGGGCACGTGCAGTTTGCCCAACTTGGCTATTGGCCGGCCTCTCCTTTGGGCCAAACTTTCGGATTGCCTCGATCACTCTCGGGTCCCATGGTCGCCACCAGAGCTCCCTTGAGTTGGGGGGTAGACTCGGTAGACATCCTGGCCAGGCGACTCGAAAATAAGTTCAAGAGATCTGCACAAAAATCGTTTGCATCTAGGTCCTCCAGTAGAAAGGTTATAACAAGGGTACCCTTTTTTTCTGTAGTCTATTTTAGGGGAACCCTCTCCCAAAAAAGGGGTACGGTAAAAGGGCACTACTGGGGGACCTAGGATGTGCCAAGGTTGACGTGCGCAAAACATGGGCAATACATTCATACCACTTTCCCACACCCAGGAGATGCGCCGGTTTATGTCCAACCCAAGCAAACCACGGAAACCTGGCCACCTTGATTGTGGCGCACATTTAGACTGGGTCACACTTAATGCGCTAGCCCTCACTTTTCAGCAAAAGATCTTGGACCGAGCAGAACCGATGCCGGAAGAGCTCCTCCGGTCGCAAAACTTCCGCGCAGCTTTTGCGGCCCGAGACCAAGTTGCGCCCCTTGAAACCATTTGTTCCCTGGCGTTCTCCCACGCGGTCTCCAAGGAGTCCAGCAATACACTGATACACACCACCTGCCTATCAAACAACTTACCCCTTAAAACTCCAAGCCCTGGGGAAGTTAATCTTTTACAGACATATAGCCCATGTTACCCAAAAAGTTGAAAAGTTGTGTTTTGAAGAGGTAAGACAAACACCACAGCAGGCCACCAAGAACCCTGCAAGACCAACATGTCTCTGGTCGTCTGTTGTTGCCAGGAGTGGCAGCCTGCTTCTCATTGGTGCAATTGCTGGTCTCTTGGGTGCTGTTGACCCCCCTGCAAAAAGTGTTCAACTTCTTGTTTTTTTTTTTGGGGGGGGGGGGTTAGTGGAAAACCCCAAATGATTTCCCCAAACAAGTTAAAGTTTAAAGATCCAACCCAATAGCAGTTGTTTGTCTTGTTCAGCCACGTGTTGTAGTGGTGTTTGGGAGAGCGCGCGCCGAGCTGAGCTATGTACAGTCGCCGCCTGCCCTCTACCATAACTTCCTCCACAAGGTCTGGAGCGCTCCTCAGCTATGGGCTCAAACTGCAAGTGGCGTTTTTTTCCTTTTCTCTGAAGTTCAGGATCAGTATGGCCCTGCAAAAAATGGGATAAACTGAAACTGGCATATTCTATACGCAAGGCTGGACTTTCGGTTTGCGTCTGTGGCTTGCAGGTCAAAATGAACTTCTGCTGTAGATCCATGAAGCCTCACTTCCGATCTTCCGATCGAGATTGGTCAAAATAAAGTCCAAACATGTTTGGTTGACCATGTCAATTGTTTTCCATAAAGTACAAAGTCCGTTTTTCAGGAAGTGAAACACCAGGCTCTGCTTGCTGGCCTGCTTCCCCACCCGATTCCACCCGCCTGGGACCTTGCTGAACAAGTTTGTATCCAAAACAACGAAAAAAGCACGGCCAACAAGTACCTGAATAAATCCATGTGAGTCATAATCAAAACCCGTTACACAAATGGTGCACCCAGAACCATGTAAAGAACTAAGAAGGCGGCCGCAGCTATTTATGGTTGGGGTCGTCCCTTGCTAACCTTCATCTACCCGGGTTTTGATTGTGGCTCATGTAACACAGCTTACACGAAATGCCTGATAACAAAATACCCAAACAAACAAGAGATCCTTTGCCTCCAAAACGCCCCTCCAAATCGTCCATGTCCAAGTCCTCCAGATCCTGAAGCCATTCCAACCACAAATCGTCTGTGTCCTTTTTGATGTGTCTTCCTTTAAAGCCATCCACAAAGCGGGTCTACCTTTTTGACCACCCCCTCCAATTTATGCAACGATCGCAAACTGGCATAAAAACGCCAGAACATTATTTTGGTTCTGTGCATCCCACAAGACCAAGGAACCCCGCCGGGTGAAAAACCTGTAAACCATTTGAACCTGTGGAAGGACCAGCAAGGGACCGGAAAAAATGGCCGTGTTTTCGCCATGGCAAATCTGGGGACCATTTTGTGGACTGAACTGAGGGCGAATCATCTCTACTCTTGGTATGGGTAGCGAAAAACTTTGTTTCTTGCAGACCCCCAGTAAAAATGAACAGAACCAAAAAACTAAAAAGCCAAAAAAACATGCCAACAACAGTGAAGGAATGAATCGTGACCTTACAAAGGGATAGGCTTTGTGACAATCAGTGCCAAGCAGCTAAAAAGGCCCTTAGGCTCGTCGGGGATCTCTATCCTGCAAAAGCGCGTGCTGAATTGAGCACGGACCGAAACCCGAGATGTGAGGCTTGGTTTTCACGGCTAGAATGGTTCACATGCGTCTTTTTTTTTGGATGGATTCGCTTGGTTTAAGGGGACACCAACAGGAAACACATTATTTTACATAAAAAAGACTCACCCATATGGGTGTGTCCTGCTTTAGGGACTCCCCAACATGGCTTCGGTTTGCCTATGGGTTTCCCTAAAAAACACATATATATATATAATATATATATATATAGGCCTTGCTATAAACCCCATGAAATCAGTAGAAGAACCACCTGCGAAAACGGCCCTTTGGGGTGTTTGGCAGCTAGTTTATGTTGTAATCAACCACTGTGGGTGTTACACATTAAGGTCGGCGCACTATCACTTGCTTTTGCTTGTTATTTCGAATACATAGACTGCATGAATTGTCTAAAGTGAACTTTGGTAATCACACACCTCCCAAGATGTTGATGCTGGAGCTTTTGGACAACTCAACACATGAACACTCATGCCAAATCACAAGCAATCATGGACACACATGGGCAACTATGATAAGTCAAATCAAATGTCGGAAAGGTCAACACGCTTCACACGACGGTTGTGTTCAACTTGATACACATATTTTGCAGAATTTGATAGTTCAGGTTCTGCCACTTCCTCGGCGAGGTCCTCGACGTTTAAGCAGATTATCAGTGTCAATTTCCACCCCCGACGAAACATGGATGCTTCAACACCAAGCTTTGAGCTGCTCAGAATGCTCCCTCTCAACCAAATCTGTTCTCATTTGGGTGTCTTTTCTCCCCCAAATGGTAATTTCCCTACACTTCCATATCTTTTTCCGGAGGTGAGCATATTTCAACGCCACACCATTACAGCTGTCCCTTGATTGGACTCATTTGAAAGGACCTGGACGTTCATTGTAGGTTGACCTCGGACGAAACATGGACCCCAACAGGGGAAAAATTAAGGCTTCCCAAGGCCAACTTTCACTCCTGAAATTACGGTAGTATAATTCCAAAACCTGCAACAATGGCCAAGAAAAATACCTACATCCATGGTGAGTTTGTTTAACCCCAGGTAAGCTCGCTATAAGATATGCAGAACAATTGGGTGTGGCTCAAAACTAAACAGGAGGGGTTACGCAGGTTTTGGCCCTTGTTTCCACTTGCCAGGGTTCCATTTTGGTGCCGGATTTTTGAGCCACAAACAATTGAGTTCGACTGGCGTGCACTGCCAACGGCGTGGGTCATCCACTCGCACCGGCATCTTTTTTGATTTCGACCGCGCCTTTAGGCCAGCTAAACGCTGAAGTCGCCGAGCGAAAGGCAAAGGGACCGGCAAACTGATGTCACTTGGCTGGCATGAACGCCGACGCACTTCTGGGTTAGCTCTGAAAATGACTGGGTCAGACAGTTGTCATACTGGTGATGCAATATTACATTGAGAATCTGTTGGTGTACAAGCACGGAGGAACCCATCCTTTCAAGTTTGCTCTTCACAATCACCATGATCGCACACTTTGGAGATGAGAAACCAACACTTCCATTTGCTTAAGACCCCAGGAAAAAATAAACGACATTTCCAGTAGTGAGGAACTCCTTTTAAAACCAACAAGGGAACGTACAAAATATTCTTAAACAAATGGAAGAACAAGTGCTTTGGAGTGAACACCGGAAGGCTTGCTGCAATCCACTTGCTCTCTTGCGCCCGGCACTCACAGGTCGGGAGCTGGCGTGTGTCCAGACTCATGCCTCGTGTGCCGACTGGGGCATGGTCGAAGACCCCAGAACGCCTCTGAAACCATAGGTGTCCTTTTAGTAGGGGAAATAGATGGATATCCCTGGTAGATGATCTTGCACCACCAGGTAAACCAGGGCCATCTATTTTTCTGGCAAAAATTGGTTAAGCCCCCTGGGAAACAAATATTTCCAGTAGTGATAGTTTCTTTTTAAAACCAATCGCCATCTATTTTTCGAGCAACACAACCAAAAAGGACACCTATGACTGAGACCGGGCGCGCCAAAACGCCTTTGACCAAACGTGCCAGGAAGCCCTGGAAGGCCATTTCGGGGTGGTGAATTGACAGCAAACACCAGTCAACGCCTTAGGGACATGCGATGCTGCCCTGGCAAGATCAACAAAGTAGTATGCCTGCAGCTGGCATCACATCTTGTATGCTAATTATTACGGATGCTGAGGAGTAATATTCAGCATTGCAGGGAGCAACATCAGAAGACTAGCATCACGGCC